TGAGGTTGTTAGAGAATGAGTTACTAACTTGATATTAGCTGTAAGTTAGGAACAGGGTGGAAATTTAGGCTTTTGACACTGTCAGTAGTCACCATGAGTTTATATTAATTCTAAGTCAAATTGATTCTCTCTTTAGGCCTTGTTTTTGATGATAATGCCCCCTGTGAATGCGTTAAAGGACTGATGTTTAAGAGCCAAAAACATGCAAATAAGTCAATAGGTAAATTATAAACAGAAATTTATTTTTTTTTATACCACTAAAATTTTTCAACATTCAGGTTGTTAGCACGTTCACATGTTGGTCTAGCTGTAAATTGAATGAAATATTATAATTCAAGGTTCACTTGCAGTAAAAAGTATTTGCACTTTTCTAATAAGTCTTAAAAATTCGGCCCTTTTTAGAGTTGCCATGATGTAAGCTTCCTTAAAATATCTTATTTTTCCCCTTCTGAGCCTCTAATCATAAGCCACAGGGTTGTGGCAATGAAACAGATTGTACCCTGCCTGAGGGGGCATTGCGATTTTCGTTTTGCGGTTTTGGCTATATTTTAGATCGGTTTTTCGGTTTTGTGCCAAAAAACTTCAGGTTTTCGGTTTTGGTGTTCGTGCGGTTTGCGGATTTTTCATGTTTAACATTTGGTTTCGGTTTTCGCGAAAAATATTGACGGGTTTTCTGATTTGATATTCGATGCCGTTTTCGGTTTTTCCTGTTTGACCTATTTGGGTTGCGGTTTCTTCTCAGATCTATCAGGGTTTTCACTGGGATGTGAAAATGTAACGGTTTTGACAGTTTTGCATGCGGTTTTCGGTTTTTATCGAACCTCTTTTCGGTTTTTGGTTTTGGATGATTTTTTGTACGGTTTTTCGGTTTCTAATAGGCCCCAATGCCCCCCTCCTGCCTATCAAAGTGTCATCCTCTTTGTGATAGGGTTTGCACTTCGATGGCCGGGATATAAGTGTTCAACGTTGCAATCAAAGGTAACGCGTTTCACTGCGCATACTCAATCGAGACACGTCAAAAGGATGCCCGTTACTCCTCTGACTCTGTTGGTGGCACGTCGGGTCTGGGTCGTGGCCAGACTTCAGAACAGGACGAGGCAAGTTTCGAGCGCCAAAGGCGCGAGCCGCTAAGGGGTCTGGGGCATGCCCCACCAGAAAATTTGGAAATCTAGAGGCTCAGAAATTATCTTTCAAGCATTTTCCGTGGCATTTTCTTCAGAAAAGTCAATTTTGGGCCTAGCTACGGCCCCGATCGGGTGCGAGAACAAGTAAAAGTGCAAGTCCAGGGAAGTGGAAAGATGAAGACCTGGGGTGGTTCCCAAAACCAAGGGGTGAATATACTGAATTCTCAAATAGTATTCTGCCAAAATTCTTCCTGTCCTTTTGGACCACTTGTCCCTACAAGGAACGCTTTCGCCGCTGTTTCGTGACCGAAAGAAAGCGCCAGTGGGAAGTCGACCCCATCGCCTGAAGAAGACTTGCAGTAAGCAGTCGGAACGTCGCGATCTACATCTAGTGATTTGTCGTGAGACAACAGAATAAATTTATATTATCATCCAGCTACCACAACGAACAACAACCTATTTCATAACAATAAATCACAAGTTGGCTTTTGTGACTTCTAATAATCCAGCGGCTGCCGGGAGATTCATGGCGAAAATTTTAGCGTAAAACGCCATAACGCTACCACGATCAAGAACAACATTGATGACCTTTCGAAGCTGAAGGTCAAAATCGATGAGCTAAATGCGTAAGTAACTGAAGATGATAATTCGCTGTCCGTGGACACAAGTAAAACTACCCGACAGTGAAATCCCGCCTCAAGCTTTAAGTTTGCTCGACGTAACAATTCTGTTTTTAGTTAATACGCACTAATATCGACTTCACAAAACGGAGAACGCTGTAGATCAGACCATTCAACCATAGTTGCTAACGGGGGGGATGACTGACTTATCATTCAAATCAATCAAAAATAATAATAACTGCCACTGCCCTCCGCCAAAAACAGAATTGTTTTTCCACGGACCGCCCATACATTTGGTCGATTTCATTTCACGTTTTAAAAGATTCCCCGTTTTAAAGATTCCCGCTTTTTAAGTATTCCCACTTTTAAAGATTCCCGCTTTTAAAGATTTCCGCTTTTAAAGGTTCCCCGCTTTTACAGATTCCCCGTTTTAAAGATTCCCGCTTTTAAAGATTTCCTATTTTAAAGATCAGGGTTCAACTCACTGATTAATTTTTTTCAGCGAGAATTTGTAAGGTTTAGTCCAGGCTCATTCATCCCCGGCTGTCACTAATAAATTTCAGCATCAGAGTCTTTATTTTTATCAATTTCCTAAGAAAGAGTAGAGACGATTATGTTAGTTGGAAGAAGATTTTTGATATGATATTTCGATATCTGTAAGTAATTTAGATCAATCTTGACTAGTAGCTTTGCTTGTATATACAAGTTTTAGGTTTCCATACACTTCGCGTGTTTGTCAACAAATATAAGTCAACTAAGCGATATTTCCTTGCCAAAAAAAAACTGTGGTCCTTCCCCGGTTGCAAATAAAACGGGTTTGACACTCCCCAAGTTGTAGAAAATTTACTAGTAACCCTCCCCTCCGAAGCCCCGGTCCCCCCTCCCCCCCCCCTCCCCCACAATAAAAAACGTACCTCTCCTAACTTGGAACAAGATGGAATTCCGTGAGCTATCTTATTTTATATAATAAGCTCAGTTATGCACGCATTCTGATTGGTTCTCACCTATGATATATTGGAGGACAGACGCATAGATGACGTCATCATTAAAACCTTTGCTCTCTGTTATTCTAAAATGACGGAAAGTTTTGAAAATTTAGACGATATTTTTAGCTGACTGGGTGAACGAAGATTTCGAAAAAAGTCTTGTCGAGGCTGTGGACAGTTACGATAAACAGGAGAAAGAAAGAAAACCACCTTTCTCTGTCGAAAACGACTTGACAAAACTACTTGAGCAGTCGCAGTCGAACGCGACTAAAAGAAACACAAAATGGGTAGTGAAACCCATTTCGTGCTCTAGCCGCATCCTGAACGCTTTACAACAGAACAGAGCACGGTCAAGGCTTCTCTATTTGTTAAATATAACACGATTTTCGTCAGGATGGGCGTCCTAGCTGACGCAGCGAAAATAATGAATGAGTACGCAAAATAACACGACCACGAGAGTTTGTTCCTCGCACGAAATAACGAAACTAGAATGTTTTTTTTGTCACACTTACCTCCGTCCATAAGTATCATCCAAAATAGAAGGCAAAACGTGATCTTCGTCATTTCGTGTTCCATGACAGTCGTAACACACACAACGTAAATTGGCCACTGTGAAGAGTTTCAACTGAGAAGTTTCGCGTAAGCCCTTCGTCAGAGCGAAAAGTCTTTCGCACGTACTCACTGCAAATAATTCCAAGATTGCCATCTCATAGTTATTTTTATTGTTGTGAGAGAAAGGTCATAGCCTTCCGTTTGTAGAATGGAACATGTAAATATTGTCGTCTTTCATCCATAACGAGACTAAACAGTCGTGATTGGCATAAAATGTTTTGGAAAGTTCTGGCAGCGGTCACCACCAAAAACATATAACTGGAACACTGTGAAAGGAAAATGGTGGCAGCTTCGAAGCCGTAACGTCTTTTTATTGAGTGGCTTTGCTGCCAGACAGTGTTACTTTCACTTTACCGAATTTTGAACTTAAGCCAATGCAAATATCAAACATCAGAACAATGCAAAAACATACAAAACAATGCTTTAGTTGACGATTTCCGCCACGATTCTAAGAAATATATGAGAGCCACATGAGGATAGTTATATCTTTGGGCACTTCAACAGTTTAGATACACTACTACTTCTTTGTCTATCAAAGTTATCTCAGACTTATTGACTGTTGCTCGGTAACAATGAGTGACCGTTTGTGCCGGAGAATCTGAATTTGCACCAAGGAGCACCCGATAAACTTACTGACGGCTGAATGAACAAAATGGACCGATGGTCGAAAGAAGTCCTTTATGTCGCCTGTCTTTTTGCAGCAACAAGTATGAGTAGGTGTATGATATAGTAACCAATAATTTGCTTTCATTCATCAAGATTCAATGGAATTAATTTTAATCAAAATAACCTCATTGCCAACTGAAAATCAGGAGGCTTCGATCTGTAGTCAAGCTATCCCATATATGCGATCTGATATTTTCAATTTTGTTTACCATTTACTGAATAACGAATTCCTCAATAATTCGGAACAAGAACACTTCTTACTTGTAAAGGGGAATGTATTAAGCAGGTTCCAGGCGCATTTTTCAAACTGCATCTGGCCATCAAACGCAGCTTCCTCTTTCACTTTGTATACATGAAATTTAGTAAATCGAAATGTAAATGCAAGTATGTCGAACAAGTATTTAGGGCAGGAGAAGGAAATCAACAACAATTTCCTAGCTTTACAACAGAAAGTTGGCTTTCAAACTTGATACAGTTTTCTTATCTTATAACTGAGCGGGGTATCCAATAGATGCGAAATAAAGCTTTAATTCACCCTGAACTTGACCTCTTCATTTCTAGGAAATGTTGATAAATTTGGCACTTGTCCCTTTCCATTTTCTTATGGATCGATGGCCGTTTTTATACCTGAGACGTATTATTCCTCTAAAAGAACTTGGGCAAATAATAGTATCTGTTAATATTTTATGCTTTTACGCACTAGAAAGGTAGTTCATCTAGTTCATCTTTTACCCTCCTGCCATCTTACATCCACGTGGCGTGGGTGGCTTCACCTCCTATTGTAGTAACTCTGGTGGGGCTTTTTTTTCGTAGTGTTGAAACAAAAAAGGAAAAAAAACTGTTCAAATATCTGTAGACTAGCTAGAGTAGGCCCTTACAGATTTTTCTGGTAAAAGTAGCATATTATGCCACCAGCATTGCCCGATGTTTTTTTTCTCAAATTATGCTCAAAATTATGCTCGTTTTTGAAAATTATGCTACTTTTTATTAAAATATGCTTTTCGAAGAAGAGACAGAAATGAAGTCCAAATTAAATATTCATCGCAAATATAGAATTATATCCTCTTTATTCTGAGTTACATACTTGCTCCTATAAAACACAATTAACTACTGCAATTAATTCCAGCGGTGACTTAATGTGTCAAAATGTACCATGTCAGCATCATGTTTATTTTCGACGCCGTTTTGTTACCTATGAAGGCGGGAAGTGGGATCTTCGCAATCTTTACTTCCGGTGTGCCCAAACGAAGGTCGACTCAGTACTGCGGTACCTTTCCTCTCCCAAGACATTGCAAAATTGAAACTGAACCATGAACCAAACTCAAAAATTTTCAATCTTAGAGACCTAATTAATTAAAATAGTCATGACCCTGGTAATGTTCCCCGCCCCCCCCCCAAAAAAAAAATTAAAACATGCTAGCGGTGCTATTTTCATAAAAAGAGCAAAAATTATGCTCCTTTGGCCAAATTATGCCAAAACTTATACTAGAACAATCTATGAGAGTTAAAAGCACTCATTTTCGTCTTTGTTGTTGTTGTTTTTTTTGTTCAATGTCTTGTTAGTTTGTTCTCTTGTAATTCTTAATTCATGTGTTGGTTGTTGTTATTCATTTTGTAGCCAACTTTACCAGAGCACTTGAGCATATCCGTCTTGATTCTAATGGCAATAATGTGATGGTTGGTGGTAAGTACTCCTTTCTTTAATTTATGACACCAGGAAATTGTGATTAACTCCATCGACACCCTCTTTGTAACATGGATGCAAACTGGGTGGCTCTCCTCTGTCAAGTGATAAATATTTTTATACATAGACTCACTAAAAAAAGTCTGGTTGGTCGATATCATTCAATCAATATACAATAGCGTGTAAAGCTGACATGATAATCCAATATCTGTAGCGGAAATTGGATTTATTATGAACATGTTGTCTAGTTTCCAGGCCTCTCATGCGTGTAGTGGTTTCAATTTTTGTAAACTCAGAGAGAAGTGTCTTCTTCAGCAGATTGTTTAAAAATGCATAATAAAACAATTATAGAATTCGATTTTCGCACGATATATAGAGAATAATACATGGGCGCGTGTAAATATGGAATTTATCTTCGAGTGTTGAACTCGATATCTCACCAATAAGCGCAGCAAGCGAGTGAGATGTCGAGTTTGTGGACAATCTTAGTATTAAATCCTTTTATCACATAAACTGCGGTGTTATACAAGAATTTCCGGCCCTGAGGAAAGCCGTAACAACACGTGAAAAAATGTCGTATTTTTTCACGTGTGTTGATATACCCAATTAGCTGCTTACACGTCACTCGCCTTTGGCGCCACTCGGTCAGGTTGATGAAAGAACAGCAAAGTCTTCACGACTCTCAATTACAAGTTGTTTGTCGGAGCTTCCTGGAATTATGGCGACTAAAACACTAAAAAGTCCGTATCGCTGACAAACAATGAGGTTCAGACTTTCCTAGAAGAGGAAGAAAACCAATATACTAAAAGGAAAACCGAAAGTTGCGTATTAGTGGCTTTGGCGTTAACATTTCTCTCGGCTGATAATGAAAATCGACAACCGGAAGATTTGCCACTGGCCGATTTTGGCCGTTTACCTGAAAGACTTCTTCTGTCGGTAAGGACAAAGTCAATCAATAGGAATTTTTTAAATCGAAAATTACGACCATTGTTGTTTTTGTAATCATGATTCAACGCATTTTTCCATCTTAAGAGTCTGCGCCAACGCACTTTACGATTGTTAATCGAGGATTGTCGATTCATTTATTTTCATTAATCAATGAGGTCGGCTTTTCTTCTCAGTGAAGGGCTATTCTGTTTATATGATAAACAAAATAATACATGGTTGCTTGTAGATATGGAATTTCTCTTCTCGTGTTCAACTCGACATCTCACTCGTTCGCTGCGCTCACTCGTGAGCTATCGAGTTAAACACTCGAAGAGAAATTCCACATCCACGCGCGCCCATGTATTATTCTCTATTTATCCAACTGCTCTATTTTATGTCATTTCTTATTAGGCGGGATAGAAAAGCATAGCAGTTGCAGCCCACTGGCTAAACATGTTTTTTTTTTTTGTTTTTTTTTATAGTTCAAAATAACCGACTGTCCAATATTGATTCCCACATTATTCTTACTCTTCTTGGTGCAGTTGAATGAGAAAGAAATATATCAACAACTACAAGTCTACTCAACCAAATTCTTCGAATTAACCACATAAGAATTGTTTGTCTGCCAGTAAGGAGAATTACTAATTAGATATTGGGAGTTAAAGGGAATTGCTGATCACGATAATTCTTCTCAACAGTAACTCCGTATGGAAACATTACCATTAAATGGTCGTTTGGACAATATGATATTGAACGAATTGTAATGGCAATCAGCAACGCTTCCAATGTTATTGGGAGATTTCAGAATGGAGAATACCGCTGTTACAAAGATGGATTCCTCACGGAAACGGAATGTCAGGAACACTACTCACTGACTGTGAATGCATCGAGTGACATCACTATTGCAATGAGAAATATCTTAGATCCTTATTTCGGAAGCTACCTAATATCTGTTTACCGTGGAACAGACGACAAAATAGACACCTTATGGATCATAGTCTACAAGAAAGGTAAGCTGAGTACTTTCCCATGTGCTCTTAAATAATAATATAACAAGTATATAGAATAATGAGTAATATGGGCGGTATCTAGAGGGTGTAACAGACGTTTAACATATATTTTATTTTTGCAGAATTTTTACTGCGAGATAGGAGCCCAATTGCAATGACTCCAACGGTATCCCTGCCACATGCCACATACAGAAGACCACATCACCACCGAGGAGAACAAGCCCAGTGAACAGCTCCCTAAGAGTAACGGTACAGTGGAAAACCACATTAGTCGGCCCAGTAAGTTTACTGCCCGTTGGAATACTTATTTCTATTTAAGATTCCTCATTGAAAAACGGCTTGTACTGTTACCCTGACGTTTTTAGCAAGTGCATTCCACGGCTTTCTTAAAAGGCAAAAGGTACTTTTGTTTAAGGAAAGGATGCGAAAGAGAAATAAAAATGAGAATCGGGAGGCATCACTTAGATTTTAGCGAGAAAAATCTTGGAAGAGTACGAGTATGAAAATTAACTTTGCAGCGTGGCTGAGGAGCAGTGAGGACCGACCATAAAAGTGAAGAGTCAAGCAAACCTGGAGACTTTTTGCTTTAAATGAGTGATTTTGTTTCGAGTTACAAAGTTATAAATATGGAATAATGCATGGGTGCGCACAGATACGGAATTCCTTTTCAGCTCTTCAACTTGATAGCAGCGAACGAGTGAGATATAGAGTTGAACACGTGGAGAGAAATTCCATTTCTACGAGCAACCGTGTATTATTTTGTTTATTATATAAACACAATATGCCTTTACTGAGAAGAAAAGTCTACCTTATTTATGAATGTAAAAATAGGATCCACAATCCGATATACATATTCTGAAAATATTACTGTCTAATTTATTCAACTTTCTTATCTCGCCCACCTTTAGCTTACGACGGAAAAGAAAAGGCTGTACCGAGTGGATGGCGTATACCTGTTCTCGCAATCTCTACTGGCTTTTCATACCGCTTGTTATTGATAGCGATATCATGGTACAAGAACACATAGGAAAATATAATTTAATTTACCAAGAGGACAATGATTCATTAATACGCGACGTTTGCTTAATCCTTTGATGAAACTTTGAGCCATTTGCACATTTCTAATAGTGCCCTTTCGTTCCACTACAATTCACAATTGAAGTATAAGTCTGATTGAACCTCTCTAAATATGACGGAAACGCTTGCTTGGTCCCTTTTTGCAGTGGAGATCGCAGAGTGATTTAGAAAGAGGACGGGAACGTCATTTCAGAGTGGGAAAGCGCGCGGATAGTCTGAACACGACTCTATTTCGACTTCCGGTGTTAGCGTTTCCGTTCTCCCCAACAAGTGCATTACGCTGGTTTTCCCGTCGCGATCAAAACGCCTGGGATTTGCGTAAATTTCGCGCTTATAAACGAGATAATGCTGTTTGGAATTATTTCAGAACTCAATTCCAGGATAACCTGGTCACTTCCTTTGGTTTATTCGGTGTATTTTGGGAAAATTAACCGCTTCATTTATGTTGAATTCCCGAAAGGAAACACAATCGTTGGCAAGCGCCGGATCCAAGATTTTAGGACTCAGTACACTTGTAATTGAGCAAGGCTTAAAGCAGCGAAAGGGCTGTTCTTTGATACATTTATTTAATCCCGTATAAAAATTCAAAGAATGGGACGCTGTTAATTTTATCATGAATCAATTCATCAATAAATTAAACTTGCTTCTTGTTGAAGTTTATGTAAATTAAATATTACGACGCTTACCTACTGTATTATTCAGTGTTATTTGTTGCTGTTGTCGTTTTTACCGTGATTGAAAACTTGAATTGAAGTCAGAGATGAGAAAAAATTGAGAATAGCTCAGGTATGCACTGTTTTTATATTTGAAATTTTCTATCAGCGCCGATGAAAACTAAGACAAGAAAGTCATGCTCTCGCTTCGAAATAAAATGTTAATCAACTTGATTTCGGCACAGCTTTCTAGATCTATTAATTTGATTCAGTCTTAAACGACTTCATTTGTTTAAAAAATTTAAATTAAAGAAAAACGAAAAAAATAACAAAACAGGAAAGAAGTATTACTTTTAAGTCTAACCGTTTCGTTGATGACTATAGTTTGAGTTAATTTCATTCTTTCACGGATAAATAGGAACTCATCGTAAACAACTCCATCGTTGGTTCGCTTGATTTCTACATGGTTTCGCCATAACTCTTGATAGTTCCGTTCAAAATGCATTTCAACTCTAAGAAAGTGGTGCTCAAAAGAGATGTACTGTCATAATTGAGAAGAATATTAAGTAAACAAGGGGAAAAACGACGACGATTTCCAAATTATCCTTTACAAAATTATGAAGAAAAACGAGTAGTGCTGAAATCTAGTAGCACGAAACGAAATGACAGCGACACAAATCATGGAAAAAAAAACTATTTAGTGGGCTTCAAAATTTGATAGATTAATCAGCAGAATCGAGACTAAACTGAAATGGACTAGTGTCAAAGTTTAATCGCCCATGTGGATTGATAGTGAACAACTTACTTGCCGTATCTATAACTATCCTCTGTTTGCGCTTGTTACATAACTCTCAAAGAAAATAGTTTCGTTGTCCTTAGGGTGGTCTATAAAACCGAAAATTCAAAAGTGATGGTGATCTTTATAAAGCCGAGGCGATGATTCTCGTTGCAACGACTGCTAAATCACTTTTCATCACAACGTGACGGCGTTCTCGACCCAGTTTCTTATCGACATTTTTGCTGTGCACGCCGTTCTGAAACGACGTTCCCGTCCTCTTGCTAAACCACTCTATTTTGACTGTACGACGTGTGATCGAGGAATAAGGCTTGCCTTTGGATTCTTCGCCCAAGTAATTTTGAATTATGAAGAAGACCTACATAAAGAACGAATCCGTCTATGTTCGAGATATGCTTCTGATTATGTGGAGGACATTATTATATCGCTGTATTTTAGTTTATTTTCAGCTGAAATTTCAGCGTTTAACATGAATGTGGTGTTCTCCTAGAAGAGACGGTTTCCACTACTTCTTTATCTAGTGTAAACCAGGTATAGATTGGGCCATGTTCGCTCTTACTGGGAGGCATAGAGCGTCAACTATGAATCTCCACTAGACGCTGTTTTTGGCTGTTCTTTTTTGCTTCTCCTTAGCTGATGTTGTCCTTGTCGATCTCATCTTGGACATTGCGCGACCAAGACTGGTTTGTAGACTCACGTTGTTATTCCTTCTTATGTTACCTGAAATCTTTTTGCTTCTGTATTACTTTCTACTGTGATTTTAGCCAATTTTTCTCTTGGTTACTCTCTGTTACTCTCTTTGTTACACTCTGAGTTACTCTCTACAGTCATATAGACCTACTCGATCTCCGTAGACTAGCGGATGCGGAAAGAATCTCCCAGTCAGTTGTAGTCAACTCTGCGCTATTCAAGGGAAAGGCGTCGATGTGGGGAACTCAAGTAGCACTTGATGCATCCGCCATTATCCGACAAGATTTCATTGGTCTACTTTTTTGCCTGAGATTCTAGATCGAGTTCTGAACTACAGTCATATATAATTTTACGAATCGCACCCATCACTACACATTGGAACAAGCGGCATTCCTGCTTTCAGGGGTATTGAGCAAGAGTTTCGGTGCAAGATGCGATCGCGCCAAATGTTGGACGCCTGAAAGGGTCCTCCTGCCAACATTGCAACATCAGGTCATATCTACAACAGAAGAAAGGCATAAACAACAAACGATAAAACGTACACTGACAACAACAACAACAACAACAATAACAGCAACAACAGGAACAAAACAAAACAATCACACAGACCAGTTGAGATAAACAAGTGAGAAATGATTGCAGGTCCTCCTACTTTCAAACTGCAACTGTTCCCCGGTTTTAGTCCATTAACCTCTAAGAGTGACTGGCTTCCAATTTCTCCTAACATTATCAGTCTTAAATCAGCTATGAAGGTCATCAGAATAAAGCAAATGATCACCTGAACCTCCTGAGTTTTCAACAACTTCTATTTCTCAGCACAATAGGAATAATATAGAGAGCATCGTGGAAAATATGAAATAGTTATGTTAGGGTGTAGAGATTTAGGTCAACCATTGCACAATATATATAAAATTAAAAATAGAAACTTCATTTGAATGGTAGTTCATAACCAAGTTCCCTTTCAACAGCTATAAGCCCTCTTAAATTTTTCTCTACTTTTCACTAAATGTGAACTACGATATTCCTGTTAGAAGTTTACTTCAATCTGTATTTTAGTGAGTTACGCCCTCTAATCTTAAGGCGATGGGTCAACTTCGCAGCACCCGAGTTCTCGCTGCGCGCAGTAGATAAATACAGATTAAGAAAGAAAGTGCTTTATTAGTCCACCTACAATTCTGGGCTGACTTCTGAGGTCCTTCGTAACCTGTGACCATTTGCAATGTACTGGAGTACTTCTTCTCCCTTCATTCCCTCATAAGGGTTTCCACCTGCGATCGTTACATAAAGGACTATTCTAAAAAGACTAGTAATAGTGGAAGGATGTATGTATAAAGTAGAATGTGTCAGAACAAGAGAGGATAAAGGTATGGTCTTTTTAAGGACCTGCTACTGATTTATCGCTTGTTCTCACTTACCGAGGGTTGAAATCTCGTACAGAACAATACCGTAACTCCACCTGGAGCAGAAACGACAGAAGTCAGTGGGTTAAATTACGAATAAAAGGTGTACTTATGACTGCATGTCATGATACAATTCTCTAGGAGCAAAACAACCAGGTTCCTTAGCGAAACAACAAAATCAAATGTCGATAAAACGAGTTTGTCAAGTCTAGTTATGAAGATAAGAATAAAAAATCAGAGGGCTAATTATCATTAGGTGCGGTAGAAGTAGAAGGTCAAACAGTAAGGTAAGGTAAATAACATTTTGGTTTTGGGAAGTTCATTCTACAACTAAACATATTCTACATCAACTTACACGTCACTTTTTATGGTAAAAACTTGTTTTGTCAAGGACTCAACTGCCATCCACTTTACCGGCACAACTCCCTGTAGAGTTGCAAAGATGTATATTAGGTAATGCGTCAATACGGTGGTTTCTTTTTGATCATTCTGCTAAGGCCTGTGGCAGGCTTAGGGTATAAACGAGCAGGCTCTGGTGGAAACGAAATTTAGAGTAAGGCAGTCACTGAGCATGCGTACTTACATTAGACCTCCTGACATATATTTCACCTCTTCCCAGGTCTCTCGCCATTCCAAAATCAGTGATTTTACAACGTAGACCCTCTCCAACTAAAATGTTTCTCGCTGCTAGGTCTCGGTGAATGAGCTGAGGGGAAAAAGTACGAACTAAATGACTTAGTACTAGAACTTTTCAGATGTGCGTGGGAAAGTGAATCGGAAACTGCCTTGATTTTTCTCAGATAAAGTTTTTTGATTATCAAAAAGAGACCAAATCACGTCCTCAACGATTAAAATGCAAAGGTACAACCTACCGCACGCATCCTGCTAACTACGCTCAGGGACTACTCATGATATATCTCCTGGGGGGAGGGGTGGAGGGTTTAAAGAGGAGACACATAGTTTTCAGTGGTGCCAATAAGGAGTGGGGGTCAAAATGATATTATAGAGCCTTATGGGGGGATCAGGTAATGATAAATGTTATTGTTAAACCACAACAGGAATCCTTCGGGCCCCCCCCCTCACCCCAGGCGACAAAAAAAACTACTGGTCCCTTAAAAGTGCTCCAATCATTTTCCTCTTTATAATTGGTGCCCTTGCGAATACATACCAAATAAGCAAAATAAAGATCATTACGGCATTAAGTTTTTGCTTTAGTAATAAACACACCCGAGATGGAGAGTATACATTTGTATATGTGATATCTGTTGAAACGTGTACCTGATGAGCTGAAATGAATTCCATTCCTCGCGCGATATCACACGCGAATTTGTAAAGTTGTTGTATGGATATTTTTCTTGGAATTTCTTTCCTTTTCAAATCATAATAATCATCTGTCTCCCCTCTACTTCTTTTCAAAAACCCAAGAAGATCTCCGTGAGCGACAAACTCCAGAATAACTAGGGGTGGTTCTGTAATAAAACAATGACATTTTAGGCTTTCCAAATCCAGTAGTTGTAAGAAGTCAGTGCCGTAAAATTAACAACTTACTTACCGGGCGTGAGGGCCGTACAGGGGAATATTGGCCCAAGGTTGTGGCAGTACAAACAAAGCGCAGCGACGTCTGTGCAAAAACGACCGGGGACCAAAATACCGCAGTGTGGCTGAACAAGTGCGGTTAGTCAGTAGTTTATTATATGGGACTCGCACCAAACCTGCCTGTTTTGAATTTGCCAGCTTTCACCACCAAATTTACGCGGCATTTGACTATTTCTTTGGAAACGGTCCGTATGGCAAAACATGCACTAAGTAAGAACAAATCAGGACGCTTAGATTTACCTCAGGACTACCTCGATGATCACAATACGCGGCATTACACCGTCTCTGTCAAAAGTGTGATGTGATGATTAGTCAATAGTTTTTAATCAATACTAATCACAGAAACTTACTGAACGTGCGCCTTCCTTGACATCGAATAACATCCTTGGTTAAACAGCCCAAAAGTTGAATCACGTTAGGATGAGGCTTCAGTTTCTTCAGCAAGTCCAACTCAGACAACAAATCCGTCAGGTCTGACTTTGAGAAGGTTTCTGGAAAAGAGTGCTAGTCATTATTTATTACACTGATCGTAATTGCTGTAACGGTCTTGCTTTAGCTCTCCGTGCGGACCTCCGTTATTAGAATAATCGACCGGCCCAAATCGGCCTTTGAATTCCCCTTGTCCCATGCCAGTGACAAATGTTACTCATTTTGAAAATAATGAAGTGCATCATACGCACCCTTCAGCATTTTAACAGCGACAAAAGACCAGCCTTGAGTACCACACACATCCAGTGCTCTACCCTTCCACACTTCACCAAATGTGCCACCGCCAATTCGCTCAATCAGTGACAAGTGATCAATTGGAACTTCCCATTTTTTGTTGCTGAACACGAAAGCATATGGCGACTCCACCTGAACTGCTGTTAGCAGCTGAGATGAATTTTGATATGCTGCGTTCTTGCAAAGGGCTTTTGGCAAGCTTGCATTTTGATAGGGCGTTTTTTCGCGGAAAGTTTGAGGAGTGGAGCCGTCAATATTTATTTGATCTGATACTTTGGCGCGTGCGCAGTGTTCAACTCCTGCTTCATCATACAAAGGGTTGCTCCGCAAACATTCCACAGATAATGTTCCTGGTGCTTTTCTGTTGAATTTTTTCCTTGGCTTAGGCCGGGGGCGTGTTGAGCACACCATCGGGGTCTCTCCGTGGCTTAATCTGCCATTCTCTGTGTTTTCAAAACCGGCTGAAGGTTGAAGGTTATGTTCAGAAAGACAAGTTCTTGGAGATGAACTATTACTCCTTTCACATTCCTCGGAAGAATTAAATGTTTTAGGCCCTGTAGGTAACTCGTATGGTTTAGTTTCAAGAGCTGTAGGGTTCATTTCAGGTTTAAATGTTGCCAACAACAAACATTGCGATGCTCTTGGCTTCTTGTAGATGCTTTCTGTGTTTCGTATCGATGTCTCTCGTTGATCTGCCATGAACGAAGTATCTTCTATACCAAAATGTGTTTCTGATAATAAAACGGAAGTTCTTTCTTCGACAGTACCTTGGGCCTACAAATTTGGAACATTCGTCACTAGTACTAGTCGAAAGAGTTAAACCAAAGGAAAAGACGAGCACATCACAGAGTTTTTAAGCAAATTAAAAGACAGTACAAATAATAGTAAAGTTCGTAGCGCGTGCAGCCAAACCCCATTCTCATACAACAGGGTAGTATTTTTTAACAGATCACTGCTCTAAATGAAACATCCCTTACTCCTCTCTAATGAAATATCTCTTACCGCTTCAGACGTGAGATCCATTTCTGGTGTAAATGAATAAGCTGTTATTCTAGAAGAAAATTGAGCAGCATTACTTGCTTTAAGTCACAAAATAATCAACAGCGTTGCTAATTCATCTAAGTGATGAACGGAGGAGTGAAAGCTTTCTTTAAAATTATTTGCATTGGAATTGCCTGTTCTATCAATCAGCCACACACTTAATTACGTTCTTGAGTGGCCACATCGACTGGCCGCCCCTGGGTCTCGAGGTTGGAGTGGCCTCAATCCATTTTATGAATGACACTCACCCTCTCCTGTCTTGGTGTCCTGTGGAAGGGAGAGATTTTGATAGAAAGAGACCATTACTCCTCAATCATCGTCAGAAAACTCTATTAACCCACTAAATGTACTATGGCATCCGTTAAAGCTGTCAGAATTCCCCTTTTCTGTTTACTTGCGTGGTTCTAGCTGAATAAAACTTTTCTTATCGTGTTTTAATAATTTGCCAGCTTCTTCTTTAAAAACTTTTTAAAATTAGTGTTAAAGTTGATCCCCAAATTTTGGTTGTGTTGTTGGCGCACTCACTACACCTTTTCTTTTTCGCCAAGAAATATTTCATGTACTTACTCTCAGGATTTTCCTTCATGGGCTTGCATTTTATTCGCAAGAAACAACCCAATCCAGCAAAGATGATTACACTGACACTGAGTGCTATTATAATAGCGACCAAGGATCCATCGACCAACCCTTCTGTTTTCCGTGAGAATGTCCCTTCCACAACAAAGACAGATGGTTTTACTGATCCTTCAATCTCTGTTGTAAAATCATAAAAAAAATTAATTTGGGTCAGTTCATGTTTTACACGGTAGGAGCCTTTTATTAGAAGGATGGCATGAAGAAACTAGGGTAGATGCAAATGCATAGTTTTTTGATCATCTTTGATTCAGTTGTCAAACGTGTAGATTGATTTAATCAATCTTGAGAGTAACTGGTAATTGGATAACCAGTGTATCTGCCTGCAATTAAAATTTAAGCGGCAGAACTGCCAGATCGGGAAGCAGAGCTTCGGCTTGCCACTTCTTCCGCGGTTACGCTTACAAAACATCCAGGTACGCAGGCGGGTGGTTTTGCCATGTCAACTCCGTTTTGATGATGGCCCCTCCATATCCAACGAATTGGATAAAACAAATCTCACTTAGAAGCAAAACCTATCCCGGAATCGGAGAGACTCTAGGTGTATTCGTGAGAGAAGTTCAGAGAGGAGATACGTTAAAATATTTCACCCTGCGTAAGGTAAAGTTTAATCATCTCTGAATAGAGTCCAAAGCTTTCTGAGAAATACGATGATTCTTTACCTGAGTGAGTGTGGAAGGCCGTCTGATCAATTTTTGTTGTGGTTCCATATGTTGGTTCACTTTCTGCTACTGACGTAATGAAAAAATAGGAGACTGAAAAGTTTATTTCATTGACATAGAAGAGTTCCGTTTGAGATTCCAACCATTCACCCAAGTCTCAAATTTTAGGTCTATTACCTACTGTTTACGAAAATTATACTAAAAACAAAAGAGGTACGATTTCGCTGAAATTAGACGTGAAAAATTAGATATCAAGCGAATATTTTATTTAAAAGGCTAAAATAACCAAGTAACTTGTATGTTTTCATCCTACCTCTAAGGTAAACACTCTTTCTATCTTCTCCTTCGTGGTTTTCAGCGATACATATATACTCGCCAAAGTCCTCGGATGTGATGTTGCGGGTGACTACCACCTCAGAAATGCCACTTTCCAAAACTTTTTGTTCCCTATACCACGCGACTTTAACAGGAGCCATACTTTTGTTTGCCACACAATTAAGGCTTACAGACTGTCCTATCCTGAGCGGGGGTGGAGATGTGACAAACTTGATTAATGAAATATCTGCGGTGTTCAAAAAAAGAATGGCAAGCGTCACCGACGAGAGTAAACGACAAAAATAGCAACAGAAGCAAAACAAACAATATAGGCAATACAGTAAATGGTTTGAACCCGGGGGTAACATGTAATAGTGTAGCTTGATCGTCCGGGTGAGTGTAGTCCTGAGAAGGACTGTTGTCGGTAGCGGTGACTGACGTTTCGACAACCTTACTCTCATGATGACGTCCGCTCGGGTTGTCGAAACGCCAGTCACCACCACCGACAACAGTCCTTCTAAGGACTAAACTCACCCGGACGATCAAACTACCCTATTACATGTTTCCCCCGGGTTGTGCTTCGCCCTCGGTAATCATTGCAAAATCTGCGCAGACCATGTGGCCCTTACATTTTGTTTCCACCTGAAGCTTCAATGTATCGATGAGTGGATAGTGTAAGTCAAACTCCACATGTATCCCATAATACTTGTTCCCATCCTCAGGTCGCACATTGTGTAGAACAAACACAGCCACCGAAGAGGTTACGTTCACTTTCCAACTTAATCGTGACTTGTACTCCTCTCTCACTTCAACAGCGCCACTGCTGTTGACGGCAACGAGACTCTTGTCGGCCGCTGAAAGAGGATTCGTCCAAATTCCAAAGAAAACTTCAACAAGCTTCATATGTCTCGGATGATGATAGCGCCATTCTAGAGAAACATTCTCGCCCTTGTAGACTATTGTTGGGTTACTGGGTTTCAAAGTAAATCTCTGTTTTTTACCTGTTAAAGATTAAGGAGAAGTTGCAAATAAACTAAAATTTCCAGCAAATAGCTCTAACTGAAGATTTCTGCTTGCTTACTCGTGTTTTATTTTTTTATCTTTTGCTTCCTGACGCCTATTTACACCTCGTCAGAAAAAAGACCGCTAATCAGTGATCATATAAAAGGACCTCTTGTTGCAGTGTTTAGATCACCCCTGATGAAGGCACTAGACAGTGTCGAAACGTTGGGTCTATGAATTGTAACTTCTTCGGTTACATTCATTAATCTGCAAATCAGAGTAGCATCAAACCATGTCTGATTGTCCACCTGGTTGCCGTGTGAACTTTAAAAATACATTTTATTTTCCTCACCCGTGACCATGCAAAGAAATTTCTCCACGTTTATCTCTTGGAAATTTCTGCAAAAATGGTGTTATCTAACCATTCTATTCTACACTTTCTCTAAATTGCTAAAATAATTCACTGCACTCCATTTTTCCCACTCGGATATTGTATGCATCGAGATGCTGCTCTTCCTCTATGTTAACGCCAGGTCACATAACCTCAGGAGTAGACGGGTGTGTGTCATGTTTTAGAATGGAGACAAGGTCTTCCACTTAAACTCTTCCATGAAAAGCATGGTCTAAGAAACGACCATCATGTTCGAGGACCTGAAGGAAGTTCCAAAATATTTCAAGGAGGGAAACCATGAATGTGAATTGGTTGCTATGGTTTCTATATGAGCTTAGGGCTCTTATATTATCTGAAACGCCTAATGGTGTTTTGTCCGATTTAAGATAGGAACATGGTAACTATCATGATCGGAACACTTCAGAAAACTTATGCCAGTGCTAGATCTATTGCGGAGGGAATCAAAGTCAACAAGACTTTCACCAAATTGACTTTGAATTTCGATGATATTAGTGATGCCGGTGCTACATTTATTGCTGTGGCAATCAAAGTCACTAAGACTCTTGACCAATTTACATTTGTCTACAATGACATTGGTGATGCCAGTGCTACATCTATTGCTGAGGCAATCAAAGCCAGCAAGACCCTTACCAATTTGAATTTGGCTGGCAATGGTATCAGTGATACAAATGAGAGAGTAAGTTGGTAAGGGAATTTAATTCAAGTGAAAAGTATCATTCCCAGGCATGAATAGCAACTAGCTCAAAGGAGAAAATAAAAAAAAACTATGATAAGTAACTATGGTCTTTGGAAAACTCGAAATACCCTAATCGGGGGACATATCTGTTTTTGATCTTTCATCATCATAAAGGTGGTGTCTCTTACTTGTTTCCTTTACTTGAAGCTTTAGTGTATGGATGAGTGGGTAGTGTAAGTCAAACTCCACATGTATCCCATAATACTTGTTCCCATCTTCAGGCCGCACATTGTGAAGAACAAACACAGCCAATGAAGACGTCATGTTTCCTTTCCAACTTAATCGTGCCTTGTACTCCTTTCTGAACTGAACAAAGCCACTGCTATTGACGACAATAAGTTTTGAGCTTGCCGCTGAAACAGGATTCGTCCAAATACCGAAGAAAACCTCAATAAGTTTAAAACCTGTACTTGGATAGTAATACCGCCACTCAAGAGTAACATTATCGCCTTTGTAGACGATCGTGGGGTCTTCAGGTTTTAATGTCAATTTTTGTGACTGTTTCCCTGCAGGAGAAAGATAACTTTCAGTCAAGATAGTTACTGACGACTACCCCGTGAATAGGCGGCAAAAGCCATCTCATTTTTCACCGTTATTAAATGCCACAAGTTCTCTTGCCTTGGGAATGAATTTGAGTATGAACTTCCTTCCACATGTTTTTTGGAGGACAAAATTGAGTATCTCTTCGAAAGCGAAAGCGGAAAAGTAGCCTAACTTCAACGGTATTAAAGCATGGCTATACTATTAATGCGATTTTTTAAGTTTTTACTAGGCCTCTACTGTACGTGGACGATCAAAGGAATAATAACTCATTACAAACCTGACGTTTTGTTGAGATGAAGTTGCAATTCAGTAACTTTTGAAACTACCTTCCGCGTAAGCGTCCCAATTTCATAAGTAAATCTCTACTCCATTAACGTTTCCATCTTCGAACACCGTTTTAACAGAAAACGGGATTCGTGAGTAAAATCGAATGCCATCAAGATACAGACAGCTGAAAAGATCGAAATCATTGCGAGAATGAAGAAATGGGAACTCAGTACTCTTAATGAGTTCAAGGGTACTCTTGGTACTCTTGATGCTTTTCAACGATTGAAAACAAAGTCATGAATTAGGCTTTTACATAAGTAACTGCAATGGAAGGGCATGTTGTAACCATACATTAAGCAGAACAAAGATAAACGTACGCAGGCGCAAAATTTGGGATACTAGATCATACCCTGATTCTTTGTGGCCACAATATTTACTAGCATTGCATCAGGAGCTAGTTTATTAGTAATTCTGCTATCAGATTTCTTGTAAACTGAAACACTTATGATAATGGATCACTTTCCAAATTATCATTGATTAGGTGGAAAAGTTGCAGATATTTGTATAACATGGTTTTTGAATAGTATCAGGAAAGGACAACCATGGTAACAAATGTAAGCCTTCAGTAATTACGAATCATATTTTTGTTCAGCCTTACAAACTAACTCCATACACTGTCAATAAAAGAATTAATGTGCTTGTTTTGGCGGGTTTCAAACGAAGTTATCTTACCAGAACTTCCCATCCTCTTCGTTGCAAGCAAGAAGGACGCCAGCCAAACAAAATTCGACCGACATATCATCCTCATTAATGGCGACACTTCACCAACTCCCTCGGCGACTTTCTGTGTGATAGAGAGACGCAAATTACGCAAAGATTCAAGCCTGACTAATATATAAAAAAAAAGCGCAGCGTTTCAGACACGCAGCAGGCGAATACACTTGAAAAGGAAAGCGGAATACAATATGAATAAACCGTAAAACAATTATAAACTTTTCGCGGAAATCCAGAAATAGAAAATTACCGACTTCCTAGTCTCTTAAGGAAGACAGACGATAGGATTTACATGATCGATTCCTACAAAAGCGAAAGGTTATAACATTTTCTCTCACAACATTGTTAATTGTTCAAACTATGGAGTGACAATCTTGGCATGTACCCAAGTTATATCTATCATCTACTCTGTTCATATGAAATGTTAACCTAACCCTATACAGTGTGAGAGCTAAATTGATTACAGTATTAAAACATGAAAGATTTCATGAAAGATACTCCCTTCATTCCTCTCCTTTTATCAAGTTACGAACGACCTATCTTAATAATCGACAAAGTTTTTATTGAAAGAGGCGTGAGACGTTTATTTATCATCTGACTTTCTTTCTTTCCATATAAGTCTAATGCAATTAAGAATCTCCAGTTTCAAGTATACTCACGAGAATTTTAATTTACTAGAATATACTAGTCAAATATGGTTTAGAGATACGACCTCTGTTTATATCAATGAATAGATTTCTAACGAGGAGCTGAATCCCAAAACAGTTATGTTCCGAAAATCAGACAGTAAGTCGAGTTCGCGTTTAATAACGGTTGTCGAAAATGAAAATACTGAGCATACTGTCACCTATCAGACGCGAAAGAGATTAATTTTATTTCCAATTCACAATGCTCCATTGCTTGCCGGCAAATTTCAGAGGAATTAGATTCGCAACAGTCAACGGCGACTTACAAGAAATGGTAGAGCATCGGAACACGGAATCCGAAGGTCTGAGGCTCGATTCCTCATGGGCACTCAGAAGTTTCTCTTTGTCACACGCTCGTGAAAAGACGAAAAACATCTTTGTCTATTTCTTTACCGATCTCCAAACTTATCATCTCTCTTCTCCTATCTAGAAGTCAGTTGATGTTTAGAATTAATCGAAACGAGGGAAAACACTGCAACAAAGGCTCCCTCGATCCACGTTGCTTTCCCGCTGTTTACGTCTTCCTGCCGCATGGGAACTCTTGACAATGTTAATGATTTCTAGGTATTATTTGTTACAGCTGGCACTTTCCTTAGGCCCTCTGGCTGTTTACGTCCTCTTTATGTGACTAATAAAACGGAATTTTTTTACATCAGTTAATCTTCAAATAAGTCACTTAATTAATTATTAAAGGTTTGTTAGAATTTGAACATTAGGCTCACAGAGAAGTCCCTATCAAGTTGTAATGGTTTTTATCGCTTGCGGCAAAAAGTTTAGATAATGCAAGGGTCACCATGTGTCACAAATATTTCCTGTTATTCCGAGAAAAGCATTCAGTGATCAAAACAAAGGAGTAATATATAATCCACTTAAACCTGGCTAATTACCAGCTAAGTCAATCTCAAGGTGTTCAGAGGTCCATCGTTAGGCCGTTAGTCCATCGGAAGACTTAAAATAAACACGTAAAAATAAACTTTGAAATGTTTGCGAAAATTGAGCTTGGTACCTGGCTTCCGCTGCAAGAATCAGTGTTTCGTTTTGGAGAAACATATTTCTCTATCTAGCTCAAGGCGTTTTCATGATGGTTTTCTAAAGCAAACAACAAGCTGAAAGCAACAGCTGGATAGACTGGCGTCTTCCTCTCTTTGAAAACACATCGAGAAGAAATGTCATTGTTCCAATTTTAAACCAACAATGTAGAACAGTTTCTTAGGAAAAGAAACAACGCAACGAAACTTTGACGTCACAATATTGCGAAAAATCGCACTGCGATACCTCCGTCAGAAATAAACGTGTGGCTTTCCTGTAGCAGGCTTTTTTTTAGCATCTTTAAGTTCATTTCTTACGTTAAACGTTTGGGCTACCTTAAAAGGAATCTCGAGCGGGTCGGGCCTTACCCTGTTTTCGGGAAATTTTTACATGCAATTTCCGCCAAGCTCGCCAGTTGTTTATAGAGCCGTGTGATTCGCTTTCGAAACCATTAAAAATAACTGCTTTAGTATCGCAACTAAGGAAATCCGAACTAAGGCGAATCAACCCTCTGAGTCGAACAAAAAACAAAGGCGACAATGATTTCAGCTACTCTCATCATGTCTCTGTGGCTCCCAGGTAGGTTTAAGAACACAGTGTTAACATTTTCAGCGATCAAACGATTGCTTCATTCTTTTCTTTTCTTTCATCGTGACATTCTACAACAATACAACTCATCCCACCACTTAAATGAAGCCGACGATCGGATAAACGCACAAACGCGGAAGTGCCTCTTCGTCAAAACCTTAAAACCTTAAACTAGGAAAGTCCAAACCGTAATTACATATATTTCTAGCGTGATTTTAACACCAGAAACAAGATTGAAAGCAATTGATACTTAACACAGACAAGAAATAAGTTTTTTCGTTCTAGATTAACTGCTTAAGGTGAAAGTGAAAGTAATCATCTTTAGGGGAAAATTTAATGTTTGGTGTACGGAAGATGTATTTAGACTTACTAGATTTAACAAAGTCAAAATTAGATTAAAAAATTTCGAATTTCCAAACCTGAAAGCAAGGATTTTGCGACCCAACAGCGAAATTTGAAAAATAACATCGGCAAACGGTTGGTTTAAAGAAAGAGATGACCACGGACTATATTTTTGAGGCGGTTGGAGACACTGCTTGTGGCAGACCTTTCATAAATAATAAAATGGCCATATCTTTCAGGCGAAATTTTGCCATGTAGTCGCTACCGGTTTATTCTGAAAAAATATTCAAAAACAAAAGAACGACATCTGAACTACGATTTTTGATAAATAGTCAGGTAATTTATTTCCGAGAAAGAACAAGACAAAGGCCCCTTCCTTCTGAGAAAGGCCATTGTTTAAGTTCAGCCTGTGCATAAATCAATCGACAGCGTTTACACGAACAGAAAATCAGGAATCCTGGAATTATGGAAATGGAATACGCGGAAACTACAAATCGTTCACACGCACCTAGAGACCATTTTCATTTGATCAGTCTACCTTTCAAACTGGTACATGATTAGCTTTGTAACTAGCTTCACGAGCAATTCCGTTACAGGGAAAAAGTACAGAAAGAGTTCTTCGGTCTTTGGTCAACTGAGAGAAGTTTGACAACTTAGCTTACGAGGTCGCTTATGATTCCGCATTTATGCAACAATATATACTCTATTGTTTTTCTTTTCCATTTCTTTCCACGATTTAACAGTATTTTGCCAAGGGTATCCTGAAATTGTTTCTGGACCAAGTGATCCCCTGATTGCCCGTAGCGAAGACAAAGCTACCCTCAATTGGACGCTTGAGTTGCCTCCCTCAGAGACGTGGAATAGTAGCATATTTGAAGTGGTGTTTGGAATCTGGAAAGATCCAGGATTCCTGAAAACAAAACTCTTGGTCATCGATAGACATGGTGAGGTATTGATAAGACCAAACTATGAGAAAAAAATTAGCTGCGACTTCAACATGTCCAAGCTTCAAGTTGCATTCATTCTCCATGATTTAACCATGAAGGACGAGAATCATTACTGTCTTCAGGTTGAGCTTGGCCTTCATCAGCCTCCTTTGACGGATCCTGTGATGCTTCTTCTTGAGGGTAATATAATTGTTACATTTCATTTGTAAAGGAATACCACAGACCCGGAAGCGGGGGTACTCAGGCAAATATGTTCTGGGTATGTACCCCTGGGCTACTCAGAGCCCCTTGCCCATACTCATTCAGGGCCAATTATGGACCCAATCTTAGCCACTCTTAAGTATTTGTGATGGCTTTCCTTCTTTGACATTCACTTCTGATTGAGAGAAACCTTACTCTCAGATATCTCAACAGATTTTCCTAAGATAACCAGTCCCAAACAGGAAAACTTTTCGGTGAACATTGGGGAAAACTTGCGAATAAACAGTCAAGCAAAGGGTCTTCCTGCACCAACCATAACATGGACGAAACAGGGGAGAATTGTTGGTAATGATACATTGGTTGTCAATGGAGTAACGCCAAACGACAGCGGAGTCTACTTGTGCAGCGCTCACAACCAGGCTGGTGAAGATCATAAGGAGATTGTGGTTACGGTTTTGGAGCATAATTATGGATCAAAAAAGCTAACAGGTTTTAACAATTTGTTTGTCGAAATAAATACCCATGAACTAGACTGCTAATGCTTATTCTTATGTTGGTGACTGAATTTTCATTTCCAGAGCGTTTCCATTGGCGCGTCCTGTGTTAAACGATTTGAAAATTACAAACACTCCCTCACTAGAAACCGAATGGAATCATTACCTATTCAAGGAGTTAGTTTCTCTGATCTTTTTTAAGCTAAGGATCTCTTTCGCACAAGTCATGATATCGACTACATCAATGTCCCTGTAATCTTAAGTAGTCCACGTTACTCTAACAAGGTCCCACAATTTGATACCTTCTCCTGATATCGATCATCGGTTCGATTAGCTTATTTATACATTAAAAAAAAAAGTTTTCAATTTTCAATTTTCTGAATTGGCCAAGCCGCTCATTCACAAGTTAATTACAGACAGACTGATAACCAAGGTGGCCTCCCCTGGCCTCTCCTCTAGTCTTTGAGGTCTCTTGTTGTTGAATTTGTATAAATATTACTTCTGAAGCTGCTCAGAAATAATGACGACGATTATAATGATAATCATCCTTCCTGCTAAAGTGCTTTCTAACTTTTTTCTAGTTCCTCATATGCCAACACAAACATCACATGATAGAGGAAGTCCTGTGTGGTTATTTCCAGTAGTCATAGGTGTGTCAGTTTTTTTAATAGCTGCAGTGGTTGTCTTTCGCTTGCGTGGGCACCGCTGCAAAAGGAACCTCGCTTATGAGCAGCATATTGATGAAAAAGCATCAGCTGAGCACTTCACAACTGCCAAGATCTAGCCTAGAGCCGATGAGGAGGCTGCGGGTTAGTGACTGAACAGTATACCTTGATCATACTCTATCATGGAATGCATCATTAGCTGGTATACCGAAATAGCATCAAAAGCAGCTGTGCAATTTCTCCAATTTTTCCTCTTTCTTAACCTCCTGCCGGTTTCTGCTCCTAAGCCTCTAAATTGTTTCCACGGATCCGATAATTCTCGTAAGTTATAAATAAAACTTGCGTAATTGTAGTACACTGTAAGTGTGCTTTAAAATGATTGCTGAGGAAAAATAGAAAACTTTAAAACAGATCAATTCTTGTCATTGACGGGACAAAATTTTCTCAGCGAGAAAATGAGAAATGAGTTGCTTTGACACAAACCGGCCGTCCACTAGTCTTTGAATAACAATCTAACGCACCCATTTGATGAATGCATTGGTACTCAAAATCCTTTGTTTTACAATGTTAGTTCGGAACACAACCCAATCACTGAAAAAATTCCATGAACTTGCAACTGAATAGTTTGTTACCGTAATTAGCATGGAAAGACTTCGTAGGAGACAACTTTAAAGAATTAAAACTTATAATCTGGCTTAATGTTGGTAAATAAAGCAAGAATACAATTTTCAGCACTACATGTGTAGATATATAGAGAATAATACATGGGCACGCATAGATATGGAATTTCTCTTCGGGTGTGTTACTTGATAGCTAACGAGTGAGCGCAGCGAACGAGTGAGATGTCGAGTTGAACACAAGAAGAGAAATTCCATATCTACAAGCAACCATGTATTATTTTGTTTAGCATAGAAACACAATAGCCCTTTACTGAGAAGAAAAACATTTGCCTTTTTAGCAGGGGCGATTGTACCAAACGGTCGACAATGAATTCCGTATAAAACTATCAGAGCAATTTAATCAAAATTTAATTTGCCTTTTCAGCTCTTTTAGCAATGTTTATGAGTTCAATCCTGTCGTTTCAGTGAACAATCTCGAAAACGGAAAGTGCCTTCAAGCTTCAAGCAAGAAAGGAAGCTACATGCAGGGTGAATTTCAATATGATTTGGCCCGACAACCAACCCTCGTAATAATCTTTATTTTTATTAATAAACACTACTAAGATAAACTTTTATCAAGTTTGGTTTGCTTCTAGCTTTTGCTATAACTACGGAATTGGAGTCGCATACGGTTCAGAAGAATGCGGAAGCATTTACCTGTTGGTGAGAGAATCATAAAAGTGTACGAAGCGTTACCAAAAACACATCAAAATTCGCTGGAGAGACGCCAAAATAAGTTTTAACCCTTTAACTCCCATGAGTGATCAAGACAGAATTACTCCTTACAATATCAATACAATATCAACCAGATAAGTGATAAAAACAAAGAAAAATATCAATTTGGGGATAATGAGTCGATCCAATACTAAATTATTTGAACTAACATTGTAAGAATTGTATGGTTGACGGTAAGGAGAATTACAAATTTAGTTTGGGAGTTAAAGGATTAAGAACTTTTCTCCGTCTCCATCTAAATGAAGCTCCTGCTGCATAACCCTTTGACTCCTATGAGTGACCAAGACAGAATCTCTTCTTACAATATCAACTCAAAATCAAGCAGACAAGTAAGAAAAATATAGAAGAAAACTGAATTAGGGGCCTACAAGGTGATCCAATACCAAATTCTCCGATTTGAAATAATTAGTATTTTATGGCAGACAGTAGGGAGAATTACTTAGAGATCTTGGGAGTTAAGGGGGTTAACAATCACAGGTAGACAGGATTCTTTATGAAGAAAGACACTTCTCAGAATTTCATTGCTGACGCGTCACGCTACGAAGGCCCAACAGGCAGTCACAGAGATGGCTGCCCTGCAGTCAAAATTTTTCTAAGAATCTCATCTTACAATTTCAAGTGATCTTAAAAATTACGCTTGTCTTTTGACGGACGAAATATCCAAACTTGCGTACACTATAAAATAGATATGATGTCCCCTTTGAATTATGGTCACAGTACGGTTGTTAGAAATTAAATATTGACCAAACTTCCGCAGAAAACCTCATTCAAACCTCTTGAAGTATTCGATTCTTTGTTTGTGCCGACATTCCAAGCGATTCTAGGATCTCGGCTCTTAATTCAGTTGGTTCAAGATTCTACGGTTTCAAGGATCTGTTAAGACATAGCGATCTCACTGTTCCCTGAAGTACGGTTGTTTCGTAAAGTAGAACATCGACACGATTCCTCAGTTGAACCGACTAGATTTCTTAACAAACATCTGATACTCTTAAGATGTTTACAAGGCATTCCCGGAAACCCAAGAAAATGCACCGTCATGGTCGTAGATTTTTATTAGAACAGCCGCATCGATGATGCAATTCAATAAAAATGCTAACTCGACATATTTTTCACGCAGTTGTCTTTACTCAAAGAGGCTGTCATGGATTTACGTTTGCGCCAAGTTTTCTTCGGCAGTTTTTGTATGGTAACATTGCTTCAAGGTAAGTTTTAATGCTGGCAGCATGTGCGAGGAGATGATGACGGTAGTAAGTAAAAGAGAATCTATAAAGCTTTGAAATTGAATAGTGAAATCGGAAAGTGATACTCCGAATATGTTCGTGCCCTTCTACAACAAAGTTGAGGTTCGAAGGGCTACGTTGAAAACTTACCACACAATTGTTAGAAATGTTTGAAATGACTCACCTTTCGCTACTGAGTTCGAAGAAATTTCTGAAGGCACCCACGGCCATTGATTTTCAAGAGCTTCCTGCTTTTCTCGGAAATATCGAATATCATACATGATACGAGCAACCAGTAAAACGACTGCGAACGAGACTAAAGTAACCCAGCTCAAAGGCATTGAGCGAAGCAGAACCAAGGAAAAGGTCGAGAAGAAAATTGTTAAATAATTTCTAAAGAATTTGGCGAATGGCTGGATAGGTTTCACGTCTCTAGCGGCGCCAGATCCGACAATTGGCGTATGTTGTCAACAGGATTAATTCCCGACGTTTCCTCGAGTTTGTTCCTCAATGAGCGCAGGCTCATTTCCCGAACAGCGGCTGGTAATCGAAGGATAAGAAATGTAAAAAGCTAGATTTTTTTGAGTATTAAATCCTGCTTCACCACGCTGTCATTGCGAACGCTGTCTTGATTTGTCCAAAGTCCCTTGTATGACATAATGACCTCACTTCAATCAGAAACGGTTTTAAATTTGAAATGGTTTAATGGCATGCTCGGGATTTGAGTCACAAATTTTCACTTGTTAGCAAGGGTATTCACACCAAAACGTAGTGATGATATTCGAGGACGTATTTCTCGGGGAAAAAAACCTCGACAATCGATGGAAACAAATTTCTGGATCTACAATTTTTTGAAAAAAAACAAAAAACAAGCAGGGAACGGCTACCCGTCGATATGAATTTGATTGCATCGAAAAGAGGATTTGGTGGCCAAGCATAATGCGTTAACATGATGGTGCTATTTCGCGACATAGTGGATCACCACGGGAATTTGATGATCGTCTGGTAAAAGAAAAGCATTAACATTGGTTTGCTGGGTTGGGAAAAGGGAACTGTTGATAATCGAAAAGAGTAATTGACACGAGTTGTAAATCATTAAAATTGTTGACCATTTGAGCAGAGAGCGAGTTGAAAAAATATGTATTAAGAAAAACCAAGACAATTTAAACTAGTCGTTTATAGGTCATGATTGCTTAGCGATAACTGAGTTTTTATAACTTACAAAAATATCACACTTGAATTGATTGTTCTACTAATTAAATATTAATTATTTGATTTTGTATTTTCTCATTTCCTTGATTTTTATTTTTAATAGTGGCTGGTAGTATAAGCTTCACAGGGGACATACCAGACCGTACAATAAAGGCCAAACTAGATGACGATGTCGCTCTGGGCTGGAGCTTCTCATACAACGATTTGGGAGGCAATCCAGGTGGCCCATTTGGTGCTCCAAACGTGTACGAAATCAGCTTTGGCATTTATAAATCTATACACGGCGAAACTTTCTTGAGCGAGAAACTTGTTGTTGTCGATAGTAGTGGAAAGTTTAGTGTGCAAGATGGATTTGATAGAAAAATGGATTGGAGCCACTCAAAATACAAATTAACATTCATTCTGAAAAACATTGCTATCCAAGATCAGGCAACGTACGGAGTGAATGTTGACCATGGCTTGAGTCGGCTGCCGCTCAAGGATTCTGTGATTGTTATCATACCAGGACTCTCTTACGTGGTTCAAAATGGCAGCTCGATTGTCCGTAAAGGTAAGACAAATTAATCCAGAGGTATCCTTAACCCTATTTTTTTTATAACTAGTAGCGAAATGTAGACTTCAAAATTCTAATATTCTACCTTTTTTTTTAGAGTCAGCCTACATGATGGAACCTTTTGAACTATCGTTTACAAGATCAGACCACGACCGAACTGCTGACCGTTTTAAGTACTCACTCAAAAAAGATAACACAACCATTTTCATTATTGGAAAGAACAGAGAAGATAACAAATTCAGTTGCTCTCATTATGTTTCTCAAAAACCCACACCCTGTTCTGATGATTCCTTCTCAGTGAACGAAACTTACGTTTCTTTCAAACAAAGAAATGTTACTCTTCAAGATGCTGGTCGATACCTCTGTATAAAGTATTCATCTGGGCTCTACAATACAACATTCGAGGAAATCGATCTTAATGTACTAGGTAACGTATGCAAGTATGTTTTAATGATTTACTGACACTAGGGCCAGGCTAGCTTTAACCAGAACTGAATTTAGGAAAGACCATTAATTTTCTTTCATACTACAGTTTGATATTTGATGATTACTTGCTCATCTTAATCCGGGATATTTTTAGCTGCTCTTTATGCAACCCTTCGAAGTTTCTAGTTGGCCTGAAAATCAGTTTACCTTGGTAAATTTCCAGTGTACTGATTCGAAATTGTCATTAATCTTTTCCATCTGCTTTTATGCCTTCTACTAGAGAGACCAACCGTAACTCCCAGCGCAAAGAGTAGTTATTCTGGTAAGTATCAATTGTAAACCCTATCAGTAAAGGAGTCCAAAAAGTGAGTTGATAGGAAATTAGAGTATGATGACGTTGAGTCATAATACAAAGTATGCACAGTTAGTGAGCACGGTTAAGTGTAGAGTAGTTTTGTAAAGCAGTAAATGCATCGCCTTCGAGCAGGCCCTTATCATCAACGCTTCGGAACGAGCTCGTGGAAACTAAGAGGCTTTGAGCTACGCGAAACGACGGGAGGTCTGTGAGGGATCCAGACTCCCAGCAAAATTTTCCCCGAATCGTCTCGCAGCTTTCCGCGGGCGGACTTCGGAGGAAGAATAGGGCTGAAATTGCATGGAGTGGTTAAGTCAGTTTTAAAAATGATTGTGGAGTGAAATGTACAAAGTTGAGCTCAGTGTACTGTAGATGGTGTTCAAGGGGAATGAAGTACTAGGAGAGTCTCAGCTACAGTGGCCTTGCGTGGGATTGGCTTGTTGTAGTCTGTACTAGTGCATCGTACAATTAAGCTAGCTTGTTTTTTGGTGAGACAGTGTTTTATTGGTGAGGAAAGGGTAACCTAACCTGATTGCACTTAACTCAAGCCCTACAGAAAGGGTTTCTTCAGGTGAAAAGGTGTATGTGATGTGGAAATGCTCAAGAAGAATAATAATACTTAGCGTCTGAACCAAAAAAGCTCTTCTTGTGAGGCAAATTAGCACGCTGTTAATTATACAGTGTTCCTGGCTTTAATTTGTTCTAAATGTAAAATGAAAATAAAAGTAACATAATTATAATATAATTATGAATTCATCCCACTCAAAGCCTTGACTGACGGCAGGTTTCACACAGCCAGAATCTGATAAGTCTTGTGCGACTCTTTTTCTTTTTTTTTACTTACTATAGTATGCATGCTACAGACTTCATATTTTTATTACGGCAGGTAAACCAAATTCAACGCAGGCTACAACAGTTACAACCAATACAAGTCCTAAAGGTAAAAAGGCATCATTCATGAGCTGGGATGAAAAATTAGGGATTAAATTTTGGTACCTAATGGTTAACAAAAAGATGGAGTGTGAAGCTAGCTCCATCATATTGGGTATAAAAGTAATTCAGTTCATCTGCAAATTGATTCACACGTTTAGTTTCACTTAGTTTACTACTAAGCCACTACACAACATGAGGCAGCTACATGTACATCATAGATCAATTATCTACACTCAGGTACTGTTAGCAATTTTTTCTTCCAATAGACATTACACAAGTCAAATTTTGGGTTCTTGTATTCAAAAGATATATAGATTTCTTAAGAATGATGCTTTTAAATTGGAAAATCCATCCATTTGTCAGTCACTCAGTCCGTCAGTAAACACAAGCATGAATTATGCTTATTGATTAAGCTGAAAGTTCATCTGGAATGCATTTCTTTTGTGTAAATTAACCAAGTTTAATAATCTCAATTATTACTTCTCCTCAATCATAAATTGAACTTGTCATTGTTTAACTTTTCTATTTTTCTTTTGTATGTACAGGTAGCACAAATCCTGCCGTCATCGCAGGGGTAGTTTTTGCTGCAGTCATAGTCGTCTTTATTAGTTTAGTGGTTTTTTGTGTGCACCCTGGTTTCAGGACGCGCATATCAAGATGCTGTCAAGTTGCGTATACTAGAACACGGAGTGACTCATCCTAAATAAACTTTTCAAATTGAATGTCTTGTGTATGTGGTCAGAATAAATATTTCTTTTTAAGGAAAATGCAAATGCTGTTATACAGTGTCAATTATCAGGTGCATGGAAGTCATTATCCTTGTGCTAATTATAAGTTTGATGTAATTAGACTAAATATGGCTTTTTTTAATCTAAAATATACACTCAGATAACTTTTATAACAATTAGGAGAAGTATTGTTAGCAGGAGACATTTTTATGGTTGTGATAATGTAATAAATGTTTTCCTTTTTTGTTTGTGGTGTTACGAGAAGCAGTTGTAGTGGAAAATTAACTTTACATATTTTGCATAATTAATCATTTTATAGCCCATTCTAGATTTGAATAGATTATCCTGGTTAGGGGGAGGTGGGGTAATAGCACTGAGTGTTTTTCATAGTCCAGTGAAGGGCTTGCCTGCGCAAGCTGTAAGATTCATTATTTTATGTCCAATGTCAAGTTCTTAACTATCCAAGCTACTTCCAAACCTTTGGGAGATTCTGGAAACATTTTAGCACACATAAGCTTGGAAGAATGTATGCATTACAATTTTCTCCTAAGTTGTGCGAAGATACTCCTATCTGATCAAGAAAAAGTCATCTTAATAAAAGTAAGAAATGTTCATTTCCTTGATCGAATAGCAAGATTCACCTAGGCCCCAGAAAAACCTTGCTAGACTCCAAAGGTCCAAGCTTGAGCCAATAATTGGTCAGTTTTTTTAGTTCTATTTTAAGGAGACACACTCCTGTAACAGTGCCTCTCTCCAGGGAAAGAAATGTACACCAGAAACCAGTCAGGTGAACTTAACCTTCTCCACCCTATCATGGGTATCCATATTCTCCATACTGATCTGTGTCTTATATTTCTGTAGAGCTAACATGAAGAATTTGTTCATCTACCAAGAGCCGCTCTAGTTGGTGATCATTCCCTTTATTATCATGACTTTAATGTTTGATTTAGCAGTGATTTTAGATGCCAATCACTCTTAGGTGTTAATAGGGTAACTTATTGAATCACTGGGGTAGTTCTCTTGAATTAACAACCTGTCCAAGAAGATTAGCATTAACACTTGTCTCAGTCACTGTGTACTAGGGACAAGAAGATATTGTCCAGCTGTAACACTACATAGGCTGCAAGATCCTATCACAGACTTACACCGCAGATATCCTGTTAAAAAACCAAACAAGAGATTTTACCTCATGTGATTGCAATGTGTATCATGGTCATTGCATCACAAAAAAATCCCTCTTTAAGGCAGAAAGCTGAAAATGACCAATAGGTCATCCCCTCCCCCTCCACTCTTTGGCAACTCTCGACAAATTTTAATTTTTGAGGATTTGTTAAAGAAAATTGGGCTCAAATTCCCCTGACAATCACATTTTCTTTAATTGAATGATTCTTTGTGTGATCTATGAATATGGAAAAATTTAGCAGTCACCTCTTAGTTTTTGGTGCAGCAGAGAGTTTGATTTTTTGCTTATTAGCATCATTCTATGATGTTAAAATTTTCTTGAATGACATTTGCTCACAAAAGCTGACTCTTAACCTTTAAACTCGTCCATATTTAATGTCAAAACTCATTTCTTCTGCTGTTTCATATTCCTCTCCCCACCCAGGCAAGGTTCAAAAATGTCCCACCTTGGAGTATGGAACAGAGGGGATGGGAGGTGTGAATGTTGAAGCTTTAAATTAATTAGTGCATAAACCATATGGAAGTAGTTTTATTTAAAACTAGATCATCAGATTTCAATCCCCATTCCCACAGAAATCCTTTATCTTCACCCTTGTGCAACATGAACAGATATGCATACTGGTCAACTTTATTAGGCTCATTGTATGGGCAGGGCTACCTCACAGTAGTAGGTGTCATGACCAATTGTCAATTACAATTTTCACTATCTCATTATAAATTTACGAACTTAATTTCCTGCCATTGAAAAATTTTATTCCAGAAATATTCCAAATCTGTAGTAATCATACAAAGAGATTTAATTTTCTATTCAACCCAAACCATATTTATTCTAATCCTAATTAGGATATTGTATTTGACAAAGGAAAAATTTTACGAACCATTTGGTTGTTATACATTTTAGGCAGTGTAGCCAAGTGGTTAGGGCACTGGACTTGTAATCTGGTGGTCCGGGGTTCAAGTTCAATATATTTGTACGATGAAATACAATGATTGTAACTGATTTTTTACTGCAAAATTACTACTAAGGCAGGGCCTTACAAAAAGCATTGAGAGCTAATGAAAATAATACAGCCTCAAAGGAAATAATTTACTACATATACAGACTTATTTATTTGTTGTTAGCATAAATAAAACAGACAAACCCTAATTAAGACATGACGTCACATATATTCTTCCATGTCATTGGTTTGTTGAGGAACTTAGTTGCTGAAGAGTAAGGTTCATACTACAAACCAAATCTGACTGGTTTACACAGAAACTTATATCCCAAAGAACTCATTAAAAATATATTTGAGATCAGAATGATTCATTCAGGAACTAAGATACCTAAGCTGTCAAGTACATTTTCCTATGGGGATGTGTTTTCCGTCACTTCTTGGTCGTCCGCCCTTTTTTTTGCAGCAACACAAGTATCACATTGCAATTCCTCCAATCAGGAATAAAGCTGCAACAGCCCCAATAGTAACAGGGATGACAGCCTCATTTTTGTTGCCGGTTCCTAAAATTAAGAAATGACATGAAATAACAAGTTAGTTATACCCTCATGGGATTGCCGTCCAAATGTTGACATTTAAGATGTGTTTGTGCGGTCCTGCATAACTATTGTGATGTTTACAATACACTGTGGTTGGCTGCAGCTAAATAGCCAAAGAAAAAACAATTCATATACTAAGTGAATTAATAGTTACCTGGAGTTTTAGCTACTGTCACAGCTATTGGGTTGTTAGTGGTTTTATCATTTTCCGCAAGGCTTGCCGGTTAGTTCTAGAGTTATGTTATTTGCTAAGAAATTCAAATGACCTTATACGGTTAAATTTCTCGGAAACAATATCATGAAAATAATGGCGAATATCACGAAACATCAGATAGATAGTTCAGGGTTTGGACCTACTTTTCTTTTAAGTCTGAAGGTCCTCTTCTCTGAGTCCCAACCATTAAAAATAACTGCATTGGTATCACAACTAAGAAAATCCGAGATTCCATTAAGCCTCGAATCGACCCTGTGTGTCGAACGAAGGCGACGATGATTTCACCTACTCTCATTATGTCTCTGTGGCTCCCAGGTAGGTTTAAGAACACAGTGTTGACATTGTCAATAATCAAACGATTCCTTCATTCTTTTCTTTTCTTTCATCGTGACCTTCTACAACAATGCAACTCATCTCACCATTTAAATGAAGCGATAAACGATCTGATAAACGCACAAACCCGGAAATGCCTCTTCGTCATACCACCTTAAACTTGGAAATGAAGTCTAAACCGTAATTATGTACATTTGTAGCCTGATTTTAACACCGGAAACAAGATTTAAAGCATTTGATACTTGACACAGACAAAAAGTGAATTACTAAGTGAATTAATAGTTACCTGGAGTTTTAGCTACTGTCACAGCTATTGGGTTGTTAGTGGTTTTATCATTTTCCGCAAGGCTTGCTGGTTAGTTCTAGAGTTATGTTATTTTCTAAGAAATTCAAATGACCGTATATGGTTAAATTTCTCGGAAACAATATCATGAAAATAATGGCGAATATCACGAAACATCAGATAGATAGTTCAGGGTTTGGACCTACTTTTCTTTTAAGTCAGAAGGTCCTCTTCTCCGAGTCGCAACCATTAAAAGTAACTGCACTGGTATCACAACTAAGAAAATCCGAGATTTCATTAAGCGGCGAATCGAACCTCCGTGTCGAACGAAAAACAAAGGCGACGATGATTTCAGCTACTCTCATCATGTCTCTGTGGCTCCCAGGTAGGTTTAAGAACACAGTGTTGACAGTTTCAGTAATCAAACGATTCCTTCACTCTTTTCTTTCATCGTGACCTTCTACAACAATGCAACTCATCTCACCATTTAAATGAATCCGACGATCTGATAAACGCACAAACCTGGAAGACAGAGGATAGGATTTACATATAACCTTTCTCTCACAATACTATAAATTGCTCATACTATGGAGTGACAATCTTGGCACGTGCCCAAGAATAGAGAGTAGATATCAAATGTTAACCTAAGCCTCTACAGTGTAGGAGATAAATTTATTAAAGTATTCGAACATGAAAGATTTCATGAAAGATACTCCATTCATTCCTCTCCTTTTACCAAGTTACGAGCAACGTATATTTACATCGAAAAAGTTTTTTTATTGAGAGGCGCCAGTTGTTTGTTTATTGTCCCGATCAACCAATCAGACAGCGAATTCGAAGCACAAGCACAAACTTAATTATTTGCTGTAACTTCGGGTGAAAGACGTTTCGCTCTGACGGAGGGCTAACGCAAAACTACACAGTTAAAACTCTTTACGGTGGGCAATTTACGTGAACAACTCAGTCGATAATACTTATTTACCCTGTTACACTCTATCGCCGACGCAGCACCACAGTTTCTTTAGAAACTTAACCCCTCTATTCATTTTTGTGAGTTACAGACTATCGTGGACCACGAAATGACGAAGATCACGTTTTGCCTTCTATTTTGGATGATACTTATGGACGGAGGTAAGTGTAACAAAAACACATTCTAGTTTCGTTGTTTCTTGTGAGGAACAAACTCTCGTGGCCGTGTTATTTTGCGGACTCATTCATTATTTTATAAACAGGTAGAACCCCCATCCTGACTAAAAATCGTTTCAATTTTAATCGAAACGGTTTTTCGTGCCGCTCTCGCTAAAAGTGGTCCTCTCGACTTCCCGTGGGAAAAAAGTTTTCTTTTATTTTTCGCTCATGAAAAGGGTTTAGGACACATGTTCCAAAAATAGTTAGTCGTTCTTCAATTCTCTCTTTTTGCGTCGCCAAAAGCCAATAATTGCCGGGCTAAACCACTCGTGTGGACAGCTGCGATCGAAAGTGTGAATTTTACAGATTGTGTCCAGCGCGCAGCGACTGCAATAATATAGCTCACGGAATTCTATCTTTCTCCAAGTTACAAGATGTATTCAGTTAGTTTATAGACAAAATATGGAAACTTCACCTTCTCTTCGACCTCAATTTGCATACAAAAAATTCATTAATTTGAAGGAAAGAAATCTCAAAATACAGGCGTTAATCGGGCTAAAAAAGCATATCAGTGTATATTTTTTACACCAATGAGGTCACCGATTGCCTCAAACTCTAACTTTCATTCCCAAACATCTTAAAAGCAACGCAAGTATTTGCTCAGTTATGCTCGGTGGAAAGGTGGAATGGTAGAATGGTGGAATGGTGGAATGGTGGATTCCGCCATTGCACCATTCCACCATTCCACCATTCGACCATTCCACCATTCCACCATTCCACCATTCCACCATTCCACCATTCCACCATTCCACCATTCCACCATTCCACCATTCCACCATTCGACAATTCCACCATTCGACCTTTCCACCATTCGACCATTCCACCATTCCACCATTCGACCATTCCACCATTCGACCATTCCACCATTCGACCATTCCACCATTCGACCATTCGACCATTCGACCATTCGGCCATTCCGCCATTCCGCCATTCCGCCATTCCGCCATTCCGCCATTCCGCCATTCCGCCATTCCGCCATTCCGCCATTCCGCCATTCCGCCATTCCGCCATTCCGCCATTCCGCCATTCCGCCATTCCGCCATTCCGCCCTTCCGCCATTCCGCCATTCCGCCATTCCGCCATTCCGCCATTCCGCCATTCCGCCATTCCGCCATTCCGCCATTCCGCCATTCCGCCCTTTCGCCATTCCGACATTCCGCCACTCCGCCATTCCGCCATTCCGCCATTCCGCCTTTCCGCCATTCCGCCATTCCGCCATTCCGCCATTCCGCCATTCCGCCATTCCGCCATTCCGCCATTCCGCCATTCCGCCATTCCGCCATTCCGCCATTCCGCCATTCCGCTATTCCACTATTCCACTATTCCACTATTCCACTATTCCACCATTCCACCATTCTACTTTTCCACTATTCAGCTTTTCCACTATTCAGCTTTTCCACCATTCCACTATTCCGGCTTTTAGGGTCGCCCTTGGTGAATGTAAAATTTTACGAAAGATTGCAGACTTTCCAAAATACCTCTGACGGAATAATTCTCGTCACCCAATAAGACAACTCGACATTGTCCCAATCAACCAATGAGACAGCGAGGTAGAACAATCAAATATACAGCGCGTACACGGAACATAACATTCTGAATGATTTTCTGTGAGTACGGGCAATACACTTCACTCTGACGAAGGGCTAACGCTCGGAACTTCTCCGTTTATGGACAACTATACGCCCACGATCACGTTTTCCCTTCTTCTATTTCGGATTTTAGTTATGGACGGAGATAGGTGTAACAAAGACGCGTTCTAGTTTTGGTGTTTCTGTGAGGAACAAGCCCTCGTGGTCTTGTTATTTTAAAGCTGACGTTTCGAGCGTTAGCCCTTCGTCAGAGCGATCCTATCGCTCTGACGAAGGGCTAACGCTCGAAAGGTCAGCTTTTTTTATCCTTTACGGTGGCTAATTTACGTTTTCAACCCAGTTGTTAACACTAAATTACCTGCTATACTCTCCCACCGACGCAGCACCACAGTTTCTTTAGAAACTTACCCATTTATTCATTTGTCTTGTTATTTTGCCTACTCGCTCTTCGTTATCGCAGAGTCATGAAACCTTACAGGATCAATGAGTATTAGGCCCATCCTTATGAAAAAACCGCCTCAAATAGACATGAGTTCACTTCGGTAGAGCTTTGAATTCCATGTGTGGGAGTCGAAGCGAACCCTTGCGCTTGTTCCACAGAAACTTTAACGCCCACATTAAAACACCCATCACGTTGTCATGTGATTGTAGGACTATTGTTTCGCTTTTGTTTCGCTTATGAGTAACAATTGGGCATGCGCAGTGAAACACGTTACCCTTGTTCAACTTAGGTTATTGATCGGAGTGCCATCCTTCCACAGAGGGATGACACCCTGATAGGCAGTGTGCAATCTATTTTATTGCCACAACCCTTTGGTTTGTGACTAGAGGCTCAAAAACGGAACGGTAGGATCTTTCAAAGAAGCTTCCATCATGGCAACTCTCCAAAGAGCCGGATTTTAAGACTTTTTTAAAAAGCGCAAATACTTTTTACGTCAATTGACCTTCGAGCCACAAAATTTCATTTAATTTACAGCTGCACCAATATGTGGAGGAGCTGGAGGTGCTATCAATCCAAGGGTTGAAAATCTTAGTGGCAAGTGAAAACCTACATTCCTGTTTATAATTTATCTTTTTACTGATTTGCATGTTTTTGGCTCTTAAACATCAGTAGTTCGATGCATTCACAGGGACATTATTAGAAAAAACAAGGCTTTAGGAGAATCACTTTTGACTCAGAATTAATAGAAACTCGTGGTGACTACTGAAAGGACAAAAGCCCAAATTTCCCACCCCTGTTCTTAACCTACAGCTAATAGTAAGTTAGTAACTCATTTTCTAACAACTTCAAGGCAGCTTCTAATGGTTATGTTTGGGTATGTGCCAAGGTTAAAATAACAGTATGTGCTTCAATATCCTTTTCAGTCGTTCACAGTCTCAAAAAGTGTTTAAGTGTATAACGAATATTACATTTTATTTGGTTTTTTTCTACAGTTCCTGTAGGTGAAACACTGAACATGACGGTGAACATATCATTTAAAATTCAAAAGTCTAGTTACCTTTACCTTAGTAAAGACTCTCCTGTTATTCGCCTGATCAAGCTTCGCAAAGGAGAAGGTGGTAGTGGAACCTGTTACCATGAGGTGCCTGGGTGCAAAGAAAAGTATGGTCTGAGACATTCAGGACATAAAACTATTACTATCACATTAAATGAGGTAACTAAGCCAATGGAGGGCTTTTACAGGTTATATCTGTACTGCGTAGGATTTTACCACCATTGTACAACAGACCAACTATTAAAGAGTTTCATGGTGATTATTGCAGGTAAACTTTAATTTACTTGATGTCAGAATATTCTGATTACCTCTTGTATTGTTTTAAATAAAATACCTCAGGATTTGTTTCTATCTCAGTCAGCCAAGGGTACATATCTAAAGATCATCCTTGTCTGCATAAAGTTATTTATTGAATACTTCAAAATTATATTTATGAGCTCTACAACCAAGTAAATTGTGGCTCATATCCAGCAGTGAAGAAAAAAATATATTTATAATTAGAATAAGGAATTTATGTTATAAAAATTACTTTTCGTTGCTTAAGGTTTTAGGACAATTTTATATGGTAGAATCATGTTGTGGACCACAATGAGAACTACTGGTTCTACCGGTAATTGTGTTATCCAATAAAGTCATTATTATTATTATTATTATTATTATTATTGTCTTCCAACTTGACTTTTTGTATCTATTTGCTTAAAAGGTGAGTTTGTAACTTTTTTCATTTGTATAAACAATGACACAAAATTGCTGTTTTATTATTGCAGATAAGCCAAAGCCAACAAAGGTGACAACTACTGAGACAGACTCTGGCCCCACAGAACAGGTTTCTTTAGGTAAAAAGGTGTATCTAATGAGGAAATGCTTGAGCAGAATAATAATTGCCTGCATGTAGCTATTTATTGAATACTTCAAAATGGTATTTATGAGCTTTGTAAGTGTGGCCTAGACAGTGGCCTGAGATATTAAAGCAGAGTTAAATTGAGTGATGCTTTTTTATCATCGCAGACAAGCCAGAACCAACAAAGGTGACAACTGTTGAGACAGACTCAAGCCCCACAGAACAGGTTTCTTCAGGTAATAAGGTGTATGTTATGAGGAAATGCTCGAGCAGAATACTAATTAACTTAGTGTCTTAACCATGAAAGCTTTTCCTGTGAGACAAATTGGCAAGCTGTTAATTATAAAGTTTTTCTTTCTTTAACTTGCTCTAAATGTAAAATGACAACAAAAGCCACATAATTATAATATAAATATGAATCAATTCCACTCAATGCCTTGACTGACTGTAGGTTTCACTGCAGTAAGACTCTCATAAAGCTTGTGTGACTCTTTTTCCTCCTTTTTTTTACTTAATTAGCATGCATGCTGCAGACTTCCCATTTTCATTATTGCAGGAAAACCAAATGCTACACAGGCTTCAGCCATTACAGGTTCAGGCTCCAAGGAACCAGTTTCTGAAGGTAAAAAGGCATCATTTATGCAACTGGAATGAAAAACTAATGATTAAATTTAGGTATCTAATGGTTAACAAGAAGATGGAGTGTGAAGCTTAAGCCCCATTACATTGGGTATAAAATTAATTCAGTTCATCGGAAAATCAATTTACACATTTAGTTTCACTTAGTTTACTACTAAGCTACTCTTAAACATGAGGTGGCTACATGTATATCATAAATTGATATACACTCAAGTACTGTATTTTTTTTTTTTTAAATAGACATAAAGCATGTCAAATTTTGGGTTCTTGTATTCAAGATATTTAAAAGTCTCATGGATGATGCTTTTAAATTGGAAAATATACTGATCAGTTTGTCACTCACTCAGTCAGTCAGTTAATCAACACATGCATGAAGTATATAATGCTTATTAATTTAGCTCAAAGTTCATCTGGAATGCATTACTTTCATGTGAATCTCTGTAAATATATCTTAATAAGTTAACCAAGTTGAACACACAGTAACCTATAAAATCTTAATTTTTTACTTTTTCTAAATTATTAATTGTACTTGTCATTCTTTAATTTTCCTCTTCTTTTTCTTTTGTGAGTACAGGAAACACAGATCATGAAGTCATCATAGGGGCTGTTTTTGTTACAACCATAGTTGCCATCCTGATTATATTTTCAGTGGTTGTTTATGTGCAACCTCATCTCAGGGTGCGCGTATTAAGATTGTGTCAGAATGCATGTACTAGAAGACAGACTGACTCATCCTAAGTAAACTGTTCACATTGAATGTCTTGTATGGGTGTACAGATAATAAGTTTTTCCTTTCATGGGAAATGTATATGTGAGTTTATTCTTTTATTTTGCTTACACAAAGGTACTTGAAAATCTTTTGTACTGTGTACCTTGTGATAAGTAGCCCATAAAAATCACACTTAGCATCTATGAGTAAACACCCACCTTTTAGTTTGAGAACACTTAAGCTATTGACTGTTTGCATGAATCTTTTAATTAAGACAGTTTTCTTTGTTGCTTTTTATGTTTTCATTACAATTTGAGTTGTAATTAAGTTAGATTTGTTTTTACATGCTTTTATCTTAAATTTCAAAAGTTTTCACTTTGATTAATGGGAATTCATTGTATTATTATTTCAGTTTAAGGTCGTTTTTGAGCTACTTGGTTGTTAACCATCACTTTGGTTTTTGTGATTGCAAACCAGAAACTAGCCCCAAACACCTTGGTAGGCACATGCCCAAAGCGAAGCCTTGCTTGAATTTTGTGTCAGTTGCTGCAAGTGTAACACTTGCATCTCAACAAAAAGCAAACAGTTCACTCCATGAAAGCGTCTTGCATTGTGTGATGCAAGAGGATCCTGTTAAGAATTTGAACACATTATAAGGAATAATATTGGGAACAAAATATTGTCAATTTACAAAAATATTTCAAAATATGAACATTTTACATTTTAAATCAAGAGAACTAACTCATATCTTGCATGTCTGTCAAGGTTTCCTGTGAGCTTGGGATACCTGTGTTTAAGGTTTTCTTTTGTCATTTTAGATCATTGAGCACATCACTCAAGGTTGTTTTAGGTTATTTTAGAAATAACTTTAGATCATTTTAGGTCATTCTACTAACAATAAAGGGGAGAGCAGAAAAGTAATTGACTGCCTGAATCTTTTAATTTAAAGTACAATTGTACTCAAGTCATAGTTGACTGTACTGAGGTTAAATGTCAAATACTAAGCAGCTTGCCATTGAATAGAGAACTTTTCAGTGCATACAGAAATCACACAACTTTGAAAGGTTTGATTGGTACTTCTCCTGGTGGAGCAGTGACATTCAAATTCAACTGTGTACAGGTTCAATCTCTGATCGAGAAATTGTCAGGCGTGGATTTTTAAATCTACCATTTGATGACAAGACTCCACTATGGCAGATAAGGGATTCACAATTCAGGATTTGTTGCCTTTGGGAGTTAGTTTAAACTTGCCACCCTTTCTTGTAACATCTTCACATGTGGCTGCAGAAGATGTGTTAAAAAAACAGGAAATTGGAAGTTTAAGTTTACATGTAAATGTGTCATCAACAAGATTAAGAATTTTCAAATGAATAAAGGGGCAAGTTTCTAAAGAAACTGGTGCTGCATCAGTGGGAGAGTATAGCAGGTAATTTAGTGTTAAGAATTGAGTTGAAAATGTAAATTAGCCACCGCAAAGGGTAAAAAAGCTGATGTTTCGAGCGTTAGCCTTTCGTCAGAGTGATGGAATCAACTCAGTTAACACTAAATTACCCTCTAAGAATTTTCAAATCTGGGACAGAGTTGTTCCACTATATCAAATGGGAATTGTAAACCAGATGTGGGCAGTGTGTGCATTCTGTTGTAATGCACAATCTAACATAATATCAATGTGACTATCATACTCAAGTGAAGCATTAATTAATTGTTTATTCCATAAATTGCCAACAAATCTCTTCTCTCCCTAGACTGTAAGGGACTATAAATTGGGCATTAAGATAACGACAATATTTTCCCCACTGTTCCAACTATTTATTGTAATTGAGAGACATCTTTTGTATTTGTATAGACCATGTCAACTATGTTGTTTATGTTGTGTTTAAATTATCTTTGGGTGTAAATTGTTTAAACCATTTTGGTTTTAATTTTCCTTTGTATTCTTCAGTATACTTTGAAACAAAGGAGAACAAAAATCAAACTGGTTGGAAAATTTCAACCCACAACAAATTAAAACTACAAAATCAGTAAGAATTTATTCCTAGTCAAGAAATAAATTTGCAACTGTTAAGAATATATGAATATAGAAGCATGGTATTACCAATTCTGTTTGAAAAATACAACCTGAGATGTTAGAACTAAATGGATTTTGCTGGAGAACTGTCAATTACAGGGTCAACCAGATGTAACTGTGCACAATACTTCACAATCACTGTTGTTATTTGCCTGACAATTTCCACTGAAAAGCTTTGTAGAAGCAAATGTAATGAAATGTTCAAAGTAATAAGAAAGCAGTTTCTGCTCTGGTCCAGCTCAGAAAACAGGGTCAAAAAGTATATATTGGACATAAATGCCTTTCCTGGTAAAAACAAAATAAAGTCACACCTCCTTGCTCCTGCCATATGTCCCTAGACATGGGCATAGTAGGGATGGTTTCTCCTTCAATTTACACTCAGAAGCACCTGTCTGTTCCATGAAGAACTTTACATCTGTGCAAGCATCAAGGGGTATGACATGATATTTGGTATACAGGCATTTTACTTCTGCTATCCCAAAGTAATCAACACAGCCAAAGTCAACTACTTGTGCATCCAGGGTAGCACTAAAGTTGGACATTCTTTTGACTCCACAAGTCCATAGGGCAGTACCTTAGCAGGTGTTCTTCTGTTGAATTCTGTCAATGTCCCTGAGAGGAAACCTGGGATAACTTAAGGCCTGGTTATTTACTTGATTGAGTCTTGAAATGCAGTTAATAGAAACAGTGGCCTCAAACTGTGACTCTTTTAGTGGAACTTGTCATGATAAGGAACTGCCAACTTGAAATTTGCCAAGCTTTGTTTCCACATGTCCAACTCCTGCCTTATCAGTCTGTACATTAGCCATTTGAGAGAGGCCTAATGCAAACCAATTTTTCTCAGTTGCTCTTGAAGATTTTGTTCCATAGCCTGGTTATGCGTATTTTTCATTCTGGCATCATGCACCAGAGGTTTGATATCATACCGTGAAGTGGATGCAGTATCCTTTATTTTCCTCACTTCTACTTCCATCACTGGCTGAGGTACAATGTTCTTTCCCCCACCCTTTTTGTGCCACTGCTAGAGTTGAGAAGCACAAGCCACGGAGGACTGTTGATCCTGTTCCTCACTCAGATCTTTAGAGTTAGTAGAAGAAAATAAAGCTAACTCGCATATCATCGCCAATACGTGGTTACAGAATCCAACTTTTCCTGCCACACACGAACAAGAGGCATTCACCACAACTCCAGACAAGATACCTAGGGCAATTCTCAGATTATGATGAAGGTCGCTTTTCCTGAAACTGTGGCAACACTTCCCTTTTAAGAAAAAGTACCTGAATCAGTCAATATCTTCAAGGTATTCGTCGTCTAAAAAACGCCTTGCCTTTACTAATGCGGTCGGAACGGTGTGATGTTCCACATTGGCGATAGCTTTTCCAGACTTCAAAATTGGAGCCGCGTGAACATAGGCACCTTTTCAAGTGAAGTTCCACATCCAGAGCTGGGAAACTGTACTGATTTATTACTTTCAGTGTCAGGCTCAGAACTCATGCCTTGCTTTTCCTCTCTACACCTGTATATTTTGTGAGGATCTGGATCCACCACCTGTTTACCTTTGCTTGTTCTTCTGTAGTGATTCACTCGCTTCACCAGTTCTGCTTTTGTCTTCAATCCTTTTCCCGCGTCTCCACGACTTTTCAGAAAAAATTTAAGCTCTGAGATTTTTAACTCCTCAGGTTTTCTTCCAAGAAGAGAAGCGCCAGGTATATCATTTTCCGTGAGCGATGTCTGACTTACACAGTCGAAATGTTTGAAATGAAATGCGACGTGATGGCTTGGCTTTTCTGACCTCGTTTTCATGCAACTCCATCCAGGACTCTCGCGCTGTCCGCCATCATCGAGTCGAGCAAAGCTGTCTCATAACTTTCTCAACGATTTGCTGTGAGTGGGGGTAATACACGTTTCGCTCTGACGAAGGGCTAACGCTCGGAACTTCTCCATTAGAACTCTTTACGGTGGCTAATTTACGTTATGAACTCAATTGATGATACTTAACTACCTGTTATACTCTCCAGTACAGACGCAGCACCACAAATTCTCCAGAAGCCTTCCCCCTTTATTCATTTGTGTGAGTCACAGACTGTCATGGACCACTACACACCCAAGATGACGTTTTGCCTTGTATTTTGGATGATCCTCATGAATGGAGGTGGGTGTAGCAAAAACACATGCTAGTTTCGGCGTTTCGTGTAAGGAACAAACCCCCGTGGTCTTCTAATCTTGCTGACTCAGTAATCATTATCGCAAAGTCACGAAACTGGACAGGACCAACGCCCATCCTGACTAAAAAAATCGATTCAATTAATTATGATTTCGCTTCATTTAAGCTTTGAAATCGGTGCGACATGAATGAGGCCAACGAACCGTTCCGCCAATGTATTGTTTCGGTCGACCGCAGTAAATGCTCGCATTTCCTGTCACGTGATTGTAGATTCTTCTTTCACGATTGGGCCTGCGCAATGGAACACGTTACCTTTGTTTGCACATTAGACGAAGTGCTATCTTCCATAACGGGGTTGTCTCTTTGACTGATAGGCAGGGTACAATCTAATTTATTGCCATAATCTTGTGGTTTATAACTAGAAGCTCAAAAGCGGAACAATAGGATCTTGAAAGAAGGCTACATCATGGCAACTCTTCAAAGGGCCGGATTTTAAGACTTCTTGAAAAAGTGAAAATACTTTTTACTGCAAGTGACCCTGGAATCACAATATTTCATTTAATTTACAGCTGCACCAACATGTGAACGAGCTATTAACCCGATTGTTGCAAATTACTATGGCAAGTGAAAAAATATATTTCTGTTTATAGTTTTCCTATTGACTGACTTGCATGTTTTTGGCTCTTAAACATCAGTCCCTCATTGCATTCACAAGGACATTATCAACCAAAACAAGGCCTAAAGAGGGAGTCACTTTTGACGTAGAATTAAACTCCCAGTGACTCTGCTGACAGTGTCGAAAGCCTAAATTTCCCACCCTGTTCTAGACCTATAGCTAATGGTAAGTTACTAACTCATTCTCTAACAACTTAAAGGCAGCTTCTAATGTTTGGGTACAAACTGAGGTTAAAATAACAACATAGGTTTCAATATCCTTTTTAGTTGCCTAGGTTTTCAAGAAGTGTATAAGTGTATGATAAATATGACATTTTATTTGGATATACTTTTTTCTTCAACAGTTCCTGTAGGTGGAACAAAGACCATAATGGTCAACGTCTCAGTTAACAATCAACAGGCTGCATACACATACCTCGGTAAAGGCTTTCCTTTACTGCGCCTGATCAAGCTCTCAAAAGGAGAAGATGGTAGTGGAACTTGTTACATTGAGGTGCCTGAGTGCAAAGAAAATTACCTTCTTAGACATTCAGGAGATAACACACTAAATATCACCCTAAGAGCAGTAACCAAGTTAATGGAGGGCTATTACAAGTTATATCCTTACTGCCTAGGATCTAACCACAATTGTACTACAGACCAACCGTTGAAGAGTTTTGTACTGACTGTTGAAGGTGAAGTCACTTTAACTCCTAGAAGTGATTAACATGTAACTTCTCCCCATAATATCCATACATTATCCAGCAAACAGGTAGTGAGAATACTTGAACATATCAGGTACAAGATGTTACCTTGATTGAACACCAAATTCTCATAACCAATTTACAATTTAACATTTTTCATAACCAATTTACAAGAAAATGTGTAGCAGCTAGAGGGGAGAATTAACAATCAGATCTTGGGAGTTAATGGGTTAATTTACTTGATTTCAGAATATCCTGGTTGCCTCTTGCATTGTTTTAAATAAAATACCTCAGGATGTGCATATATCTCAGTCAGCCAAGGGTACATATCTAAAGAGCATCCTTGTCTGCATGTAGCTATTTATTGAATACCTCAAAAATGGTATTTAAGGTTTGTGCAAGCTTGGTGACTGTGGCCCTGACAGTGACCTGAGAAATTAATGCTGTGCTAAATTGCGTGATTGTGCAACTGAAATGTGATTGTCCAACCAAGTAAATTGGGGCTCATATATCACAGTGAAGAAAAAAATTAGAATATAGGATAAGGAATTTGTGTTATTAAAAAAAACCTTCATTGCTTTAGGTTTGGACATTTTCATATGGTAGAATCATATAACTTCCAACTTGAACTTTTGTATCTGTTTACTAAAAAGGTGAACAGCTGCATCGTAACTTAATGTATAAACAGTGATGACACAAACTTGCTTTTTCATCATTGCAGATAAGCCAGAGCCAACAAAGGTGACAACTGTTAAGACAGACTCAGGCCCTACAGAACAGGTTTCTTCAGGTAAAAAGGTGTATGTGATAAGGAAATACTCTAGAAGAATATAATTAACTTACAAATAGTGTCTTAGTTGCTGAAAAAACTTTCTTTGTGAGGTAAATTTAGCACACTGTTTATTATACAGTTTTTCTTGCTTTAATTTTTTCTAAATGTAAAAATGACAACAAGAGTCACATAATTATGATATAGTTATGATTCATCCCACTCAATGCCTTGACTGGTGG